GGGTGAGTGGGTAGGTGAGTGAGTGGGTGAGTGGGTGTGTGAGTGGGTGAGTGGGTGGGTGAGTGGGTGGGTGAGTGGGGTGGGTGAGTGGGTGGGTGAGTGGGTAGGTGAGTGGGTGGGTGAGTGGGTGGGTGAGTGGGTGGGTGAGTGGGTGGGTGAGTAGGTGAGTGAGTAGGTGAGTGAGTGGGTGGGTAGGTGAGTGGGTGGGTGAGTGGGTGGGTGAATGAGTGGGTGAGTGGGTAGGTGAGTGAGTGGGTGAGTGGGTAGGTGAGTGGGTGGGTGAGTGGGGTGGGTGAGTGGGTGAGTGTCTGGGTAGGTGAGTGGGTGGGTGAATGGGTAGGTGAGTGAGTGGGTGGGTGAGTGGGTAGGTGAGTGGGTGGGTGAGTGGGTGGGTGAGTGAGCGGGTTGTTGAGTGTCTGAGTGTCTGGGTGAGTGGGTGAGTGGGTGGGCGAGTGTCTGGGTGGGTGAGTAGGTGGGTGAGCGAGTCAGATCTGGACACTGCACCGTCTGCGACAGAGAGCTTCCTAGGTCATCGGATTCTCGAGAAACAAGTTCCGATTCTCGTTTGAAGTTGCATTAAACTCCCACCCCCCGCCGTGAGTCTGTGTGACCAGAGCGTCCCCCCTTGCTCTCCGGTTTAGAGACATCGAGAGGCCGGCCCCGCCGACGGATCCATCCGGAGTTGAATTTGACCGGGCGGGCTGCTCGCAGATCCTTGGGTAATGTTAGTCACGGTCTCCATCATCGTCATCGGCGGTGAGTTCCTCCAGAGTGGGTGGGTGAGTGAGTAAATGGGTGGGTGAGGGGGTGAGTGAGTGGGCGAGTGGATGGGTGAGTGGGTGGGTGGGTGAGTGGGTTAGGTGGGTGAGTGGATGAGTGGGTGGGTGAGTTGGTGAGTGGGTAGGTGGGTGAGTGGATGAGTGAGTGGGTAGGTGGGTGAGTGGATGAATGGGTGGGTGAGTTGGTGAGTGGGTAGGTGGGTGAGTGGATGAGTGGGTGGGTGAGTTGGTGAGTGGGTAGGTGGGTGAGTGGGTAGGTGGGTGAGTGGATGAGTGGGTGGGTGAGTGGATGGGTGAGTGGATGAGTGGGTGGGTGAGTTGGTAGGTGGGTGAATCAGTGGGTGAGTGGGTGAGTTGGTGAGTGGGTGGGTGAGTTGGTGAGTGGGTAGGTGGGTGAGTGGATGAGTGAGTAGGTGGGTGAATGAGTGGGTAGGTGGGTGAGTGGGTAGGTGAGTTGGTAGGTGGGTGAATCAGTGGGTGAGTGGGTGAGTGGGTGGGTGAGTTGGTGAGTGGGTAGGTGGGTGAGTGGATGAGTAGGTGGGTGAATGAGTGGGTAGGTGGGTGGGTGAGTGGGTAGGTGAGTGGGTGGGTGAATGAGTGGGTAGGTGGGTGAATGAGTGGGTAGGTGGGTGGGTGAGTGGGTAGGTGAGTGGGTGGGTGAATGAATGGGTAGGTGGGTGGGTGAGTGAATAGGTGAGTGAGTCAAATCTGAACACAGTCCCCATCATCGGTGAGCTCCTCCGGCAGGCAAGGCTGCGTTGGCTGGGTCATGTAGCCCGCATGCCCAGTCACCGCATGCCCAAGCAGCTTTGATCGAGGGGGCTAAACGGGCGCGCTACGGGCTAGAGAAGAGATGGAGTGATGTGGTACAGGAGGACGTGGAGCTGAGTGGACTTGCCGATGACTGGTACCAGCGGTGTCAAGATCGGCCTCTGTGGAGGAGGCTCGTGAAGGACGCTGCTGGGCAGTTGGAGGCAGTCGCCCTAACCACTGCACCACCGCTCCACACACACACACAGTGCGCTAACCACTGCACCACCGCTCCCCCCCCCCACACAGTGCGCTAACCACTGCACCACCGCTCCCCACTCACACAGTGCGCTAACCACTGCACCACCGCTCCCCACTCACACAGTGCCCTAACCACTGCACCACCGCTCCACACACACAGTGCGCTAACCACTGCACCACCGCTCCCCACTCACACACAGTGCGCTAACCACTGCACCACCGCTCCACACACACACACAGTGCGCTAACCACTGCACCACCACTCCACACACACACAGTGCGCTAACCACTGCACCACCGCTCCCCACTCACACAGTGCCCTAACCACTGCACCACCGCTCCACACACACACACAGTGCGCTAACCACTGCACCACCGCTCCCCACACACACACAGTGCGCTAACCACTGCACCACCGCTCCACACACACACAGTGCGCTAACCACTACACCACAGCTCCCCACTCACACAGTGCGCTAACCACTGCACCACCGCTCCACACAGTGCGCTAACCACTGCACCACCACTCCCCACTCACACACACAGTGCGCTAACCACTGCCCCACCGCTCCACACAGTGCGCTAACCGCTGCACCACCACTCCCCACTCACACACAGTGCGCTAACCACTGCACCACCGCTCCCCACTCACACACAGTGCGCTAACCACTGCACCACCACTCCCCACACACACACAGTGCGCTAACCACTGCACCACCACTCCCCACTCACACACACAGTGCGCTAACCACTGCACCACCGCTCCCCACAATACACACACAGTGCGCTAACCACTGCACCACCACAGCTCCACACACAGTGCGCTAACCACTGCACCACCGCTCTCCCCACTCCCCACTCACACACAGTGCGCTAACCACTGCACCACCGCTCCCCACACACACAGTGCGCTAACCACTGCACCACCACTGCCCACACACACACAGTGCGCTAACCACTGCACCACCGCTCCCCACACACACACAGTGCGCTAACCACTGCACCACCGCTCCCCACACACACAGACCTCCGTCACCCACCCTCCCCCCCCCACACACACAGTGCAATCTCTCTCCCAGCACCCCACCCACACACCGCTCCCACCCCCAACAAAGATAGCCACCAATCGCCAACGATCGCCTCCGTCTGATTTGCGGAGAGAATTTGAAGTTCTCGATTTATTTATAAACGACAACACTCTCACACCATCCCCTCCCCCCCCCCCCTTATCAACCCACCCCCCCCCCCCAATCTCACTCCTTCCCTGCCCACCCTGACCCCCCCCCCAAATCAAAACCCCAACCCCTGAACCCACCACCTCACCCAGCGGGTGAAACACCCATGTACAATATTTACAGAGCACAGTCAAGTTTGCGATTGGCAAAAAGTCATATCTTGTCCTATAACGTCGTGTTTGAAAATTGATTCGTTTTGTTCTTGTTCCTAAAAGTCTGGCTGCTGAATGATGCCCACCAACTCCCAGCTACAACCCAGAGTAACTCACAAATTAAACCGTGGGTGTGTGTTAACAACTCCCAGCTTCCAGACCAGAGTAACTCACAAATTAAACCGTGGGTGTGTGTGTTAACAACTCCCAGCTTCCTGCCCAGAGTAACTCACAAATTAAACGGTGGGTTTTGTGTGTTAACAACTCCCAGCTTCCAGCCCAGAGTAACTCACAAATTAAACCGTGGGTGTGTGTGTTAACAACTCCCAGCTCCAGCCCAGAGTAACTCACAAATTAAACCGTGGGTGTGTGTGTTAACAACTCCCAGCTTCCAGCCCAGAGTAACTCACAAATTAAACCGTGGGTGTGTGTCAACAACTCCCAGCTTCCAGCCCAGAGTAACTCACAAATTAAACCGTGGGTGTGTGTGTTAACTCCCAGCTTCCAGCCCAGAGTAACTCACAAATTAAACCGTGGGTGTGTGTTAACAACTCCCAGCTACAACCCAGAGTAACTCACAAATTAAACCGTGGGTGTGTGTTAACAACTCCCAGCTTCCAGCCCAGAGTAACTCACAAATTAAACCGTGGGTGTGCGTGCCCACCAACTCCCAGCTTCCAGCCCAGAGTAACTCACAAATTAAACCGTGGGTGTGCGTGCCCACCAACTCCCAGCTACAATCCAGAGTAACTCACAAATTAAACCGTGGGTGTGTGTGTCCACTACTCCCAGCTCCAGCCTAGATTAACTCACAAATTAAACGGTGGGCGTGTGTGTTAACAACTCCCAGCTTCCAGCCCAGAGTAACTCACAAATTAAACCGTGGGTGTGTGTGTTAACAACTCCCAGCTTCCAGCCCAGAGTAACTCACAAATTAAACGGTGGGTGTGTGTGTTAACAACTCCCAGCTTCCAGCCCAGAGTAACTCACAAATTAAACCGTGGGTGTGTGTGCCCACCAACTCCCAGCTTCCAGCCCAGAGTAACTCACAAATTAAACCGAGGGTGTGTGTGCCCACCAACTCCCAGCCCAGAGTAACTCACAAATTCAACCGTGGGTTTTGTGTGTCCACTACTCCCAGCTCCAGCCCAGAGGTACTCACAAATTGTGAGGTGTGGTAGTGCCATACCCCCACCCACCCACCCTCCCCACCCACCCACCCCCCCACCAATTCCCTCCCCCCTCCCCCTGCCCGCCCACCCTCGCTGTGGCAGCTGCACAGAGAGGTGGTGGCGCCTTTACCAAATATTTACAGCGAGCAACCAACGGAGTCCTCTCCAAACTCGCGATGACACAGATCCCCACCCCGCCCACTAACCCCTAACACCGACCCCCCCCCCCCACACCCCCCCCCCCCCTAATAACGTGAGAGAGACACACACACACACATGGGGAGAGATTACCAATGGTAGAGACACGGGGAGAGATTGGGAGAGAGATGGGGAGAGACGCATGTATGTCCACCCAGGGATTAAACTCATCATTACCATCATCAACATGAGCAACCATCGCTATCACCATGATGATCAGCATCATGATCACCATCATTATCACCATGATCATCACCATGATCACCATCATTATCACCATCATGATTACCATCATCATCACCATCATCACCATCATTGATCACCATGATCACCATCATCATCACCACGATCACCACCATCATCATCATCACCACCACCACGATCACCGTTATCACCACCGTCAAGATCACACCCATCGTCACACGACCACCATAATCACCACGATCACCGTCGGCATCGTTACACCGCCGTCATCGTCGTCGTCATCATCATCATCATGCGGTGTGGTGAGTGGAGAGGTTGGGGGGATGATGATGATGATGATGATGTCACGCTGATCCGATGACGATGAGCAGGTGGGAGATGGTGGCGACGCTGGCGAGGAGGTCTGGAGCCAGCCGGGCCATGTGTGTCTCCGAGAACTCGCACGGAGGAAAGATCTGCAGGACGTACGCCGCCTGGCGGAGACACGAGGGCAGGGGGGGAGGGAGATACAGGGAGATAGTCAGATAGTGTTAGTGGCGTTTCAATATTCTCTCCACGATCGAAACTATTGTTTTTATCTGACCAGCTAGTGCACCACTCGGCTACCGTGTAACTCTTTGTCGCAAGCGGCCTGGCCATCACAAACTAAACTATTAAACTATTTTTATTTCACCAGCTACTGTGTGTCTCTTAGTCACAAGCGGCCTGGCCAACACAAACTAAACTATTAAACTATAAAACTATTTTTATTTCACCAGCTACTGTGTGTCTCTTTGTCACAAGCGGCCTGGCCATCACAAACTAAACTATTAAACTATTTTTATTTCACCAGCTACTGTGTATCTCTTAGTCACAAGCGGCCTGGCCAACACAAACTAAACTATTAAACTATAAACTATTTTTATTTCACCAGCTAGTGTGTGTCTCTTAGTCACAAGCGGCCTGGCCATCACAAACTAAACTATTAAACTATAAAACTATTTTTATTTCACCAGCTACTGTGTGTCTCTTAGTCACAAGCTGCCTGGCCATCACAAACTAAACTATAAACTATTTTTATTTCACCAGCTACTGTGTCTCTTAGTCACAAGCGGCCTGGCCAACACAAACTAAACTATAAAACTATTTTTATTTCACCAGCTACTGTGTATCTCTTTGTCACAAGCGGCCTGGCCAACACAAACTAAACTATGAAACTATAAAACTTTTTATTTCACCAGCTACTGTGTGTCTCTTAGTCACAAGCGGCCTGACCATCACAAACTAAACTATTAAACTATTTTTATTTCACCAGCTACTGTGTGTCTCTTAGTCACAAGCGGCCTGGCCATCACAAACTAAACTATTAAACTATAAAACTATTTTTATTTCACCAGCTACTGTGTGTCTCTTAGTCACAAGCGGCCTGGCCAACACAAACTAAACTATTAAACTATAAAACTATTTTTATTTCACCAGCTACTGTGTGTCTCTTTGTCACAAGCGGCCTGGCCAACACAAACTAAACTATTAAACTATAAAACTATTTTTATTTCACCAGCTACTGTGTATCTCTTAGTCACAAGCGGCCTGACCATCACAAACTAAACTATTAAACTATAAAACTATTTTTATTTCACCAGCTACCGTGTGTCTCTTAGTCACAAGCGGCCTGACCATCACAAACTAAACTATTAAACTATAAAACTATTTTTATTTTACCAGCTACTGTGTGTATCTGTCACAAGTGGCCTGGTCATCACAAACTAAACTATTAAACTATAAACTATTGTTTTATTTCACCAGCTACTGTGTATCTCTTAGTCACAAGCGGCCTGACCATCAGAAACTAAACTATTAAACTATAAAACTATTTTTATTTCACCAGCTACTGTGTGTCTCTTAGTCACAAGCGGCCAGGCCATCAGAAACTAAACTATTAAACTATAAAACTATTTTTATTTCACCAGCTACTGTGTGTCTCTTAGTCACAAGCGGCCTGACCATCACAAACTAAACTATTAAACTATAAACTTTTTTATTTCACCAGCTACTGTGTCTCTCTTAGTCACAAGCGGCCTGGCCATCACAAACTAAACTATTAAACTATAAACTATTTTTATTTCACCAGCTACTGTGTGTCTCTTAGTCACAAGTGGCCTGGTCATCACAAACTAAACTATTAAACTATAAAACTATTTTTATTTCACCAGCTACTGTGTGTCTCTTTGTCACAAGCGGCCTGGCCATCACAAACTAGATGTGTGTGTCATGTGTGTGGTGTGTTTAGTGTGTGTGTGTGTAGTGTGTGTGTGTTGTGTAGTGTGTAGTGTGTCTACAAGTGCAGAGAAAGTTTCTGCTACCCGCTACTAACAGCGCTCACACACCCACCCACCCCCCCTCGCCCACCCACCCACCCACCCCCACCCACCCACCCACCCACCCCCACCCACCCACCCACCCCCCCCCTCGCCCACCCACCCACCCACCCACTCGCCCGCCCGCTCATCCACCCTCACGCCACCTGGTTTGACCCCGGGTTGGGCACGTTGATGATGCCGGCCGCCTGCTTGTGCTGCAGGTAGCTGATGAAGGCGGTGCTCAGCGACTCCGTCTGCACCACCATGTCCTCCTGGTCGCGCCCGCACGGCAGCGCCAGCAGCACGCAGTAGTCGCTCTCCACCTGCGGGCGGTGGTGCAGCAGCAGCAGGAGGGGCAGCAGTAGGGGCAGCAGCAGCAGTAGGGGCCGGTAGGGGTAGCAGTAACAGTAGGGGTAGCAGTAGAGGTAGCAGTAGAGGCAGCAGTAGGGGCAGCAGTAGAGGCAGCAGTAGAGGTAGCAGCAGGAGGGGCAGCAGTAGCAGTAGGGGCAGCAGTAGCAGTAGGGGCCGGTAGGGGCAGCAGTAGGGGCAGCAGTAACAGTAGGGGTAGCAGTAGAGGCAGCAGTAGGGGCAGCAGTAGGGGCAGCAGTAGCAGTAGGGGCCGGTAGGGGTAGCAGTAACAGTAGGGGTAGCAGTAGAGGCAGCAGTAGGGGCAGCAGTAGGGGCAGCAGTAGCAGTAGGGGCCGGTAGGGGTAGCAGTAACAGTAGGGGTAGCAGTAGAGGCAGCAGTAGGGGTATCAGCAGGGGCAGTAGCAGCAGCAGCAGCAGGTTAACTCACCTCCAATTGCCCACCCATCGACTTTAATTCTCTCACCCACCCACTGCACTGCAGGTCACAACACCCGCCCACCCGCTCACCCACCCGCCCACCCACCCGCTCACCCGCCCGCCCACCCACTCACCCACCCACCCACTGCAGGTCACAACACCCGCCCACCCGCCCACCTGCCCACTCGCCCACCCACTCACCCACCCACTCAACCACCCACCCACTCAACCACCCACCCAACCACTCAACCACCCACCCACTCAACCACCCACCCACTCAAACACTCAACCACCCACCCACTCAACCACCCACCCACTCAACCACTCAACCACCCAGTCAACCACTCAACCAACCACCCACTCAACCACTCAACCCACCCACCCACTCAACCACTCAACCCACCCACCCAACCCACCCACCCCACTCACCCCACTCCCACCAACCCGCTCACCCCTCTCCTCACTCGCCCCACTCACCCACCCACCCACCCACTCACCCACCCACCCACCCACTCGCCCCACTCACCCACCCACCCACTCACCACCCCCCCACCCACCGCTCACCCACTCACCGCCATCCGCTTAGCGACTGCGTCCAGCTGCCCCGGCTCGAGCCTCATGCGCTGGGCGATGCGCAGGGGGGGTCCGGCGTCGGGTGACGGCAGTGAGCGGTGTGCCAGGACATTGTTGCCGGACACGAAGTGGAACTGCACGGCCGCCGTGTCGTTCTTGAGGGCCACTAGGCCCTGCCACACCACCGGGTACTTCTGCTCGTGTGGGTGGGTGGTGGGTGGGTGGGTGAGTGAGTGGGTGAGTGAGTGGGTGGGTGGGTGAGTGGGTGAGTGGGTGGGTGGGTGGGTGAGTGAGTGGGTGAGTGAGTGAGTGAGTGGGTGGGTGGGTGAGTGTGTGGGTGGGTGAGTGGGTGAGTGAGTGGGTGAGTGGGTGAGTGGGTGAGTGAGTGGGTGGGTGAGTGAGTGAGTGGGTGGGTGGGTGAGTAAGTGGGTGGGTGAGTGAGTGGGTGGGTGAGTGAGTGGGTGAGTGTGTGAGTGAGTGGGTGAGTGAGTGAGTGAGTGGGTGGGTGGGTGAGTGGGTGGGTGAGTGAGTGGGTGGGTGGGTGAGTGTGTGAGTGAGTGGGTGAGTGAGTGAGTGGGTGAGTGGGTGGGTGGGTGAGTGAGTGGGTGGGTGAGTGGGTGAGTGAGTGAGTGAGTGGGTGGGTGAGTGAGTGGGTGGGTGAGTGAGTGGGTGAGTGAGTGGGTGGGTGAGTGAGTGGGTGGGTGAGTGAGTGGGTGAGTGAGTGTGTGAGTGAGTGGGTGGGTGAGTGAGTGGGTGGGTGGGTGAGTGGGTGAGTGTGTGAGTGGGTGGGTGGGTGAGTGAGTGAGTGAGTGGGTGGGTGAGTGAGTGAGTGGGTGAGTGGGTTAGTGAGTGAGTGGGTGAGTGAGTGGGTGAGTGTGTGAGTGAGTGGGTGAGTGAGTGGGTGGGTGAGTGAGTGGGTTGGTGAGTGAGTGAGTGGGTGGGTGAGTGAGTGAGTGGGTGAGTGGGTGAGTGTGTGAGTGAGTGGGTGGGTGGGTGAGTGAGTGAGTGAGTGGGTGAGTGAGTGGGTGGGTGGGTGAGTGGGTGAGTGAGTGGGTGGGTGAGTGAGTGAGTGAGTGGGTGGGTGGGTGAGTGAGTGAGTGGGTGAGTGGGTGAGTGTGTGGGTGAGTGGGTGAGTGAGTGGATGGGTGAGTGAGTGAGTGGGTGGGTGAGTGAGTGAGTGGGTGGGTGAGTGGGTGAGTGTGTGAGTGAGTGGGTGGGTGGGTGAGTGAGTGAGTGGGTGGGTGAGTGAGTGGGTGGGTGGGTGAGTGAGTGGGTGGGTGAGTGAGTGGGTGGGTGGGTGAGTGGGTGAGTGGGTGAGTGAGTGGGTGAGTGAGTGAGTGGGTGAGTGAGTGGGTGGGTGAGTGAGTGAGTGGGTGGGTGAGTGAGTGGGTGGGTGAGTGAGTGAGTGAGTGGGTGGGTGAGTGAGTGGGTGAGTGTGTGAGTGAGTGGGTGAGTGAGTGAGTGAGTGGGTGAGTGAGTGGGTGGGTGAGTGAGTGAGTGGGTGGGTGAGTGAGTGAGTGGGTGAGTGTGTGAGTGAGTGAGTGTGTGAGTGAGTGGGTGGGTGAGTGAGTGGGTGGGTGAGTGGGTGGGTGGGTGAGTGAGTGGGTGAGTGGGTGAGTGAGTGAGTGGGTGAGTGAGTGAGTGGGTGGGTGAGTGAGTGGGTGGGTGGGTGAGTGAGTGAGTGGGTGGGTGAGTGAGTGAGTGAGTGGGTGGGTGAGTGAGTGAGTGAGTGGGTGAGTGGGTGAGTGTGTGAGTGAGTGGGTGAGTGGGTGAGTGTGTGAGTGAGTGGGTGGGTGAGTGAGTGAGTGAATGGGTGGGTGAGTGAGTGAGTGAGTGGGTGGGTGGGTGAGTGGGTGGGTGGGTGAGTGAGTGAGTGAGTGGGTGGGTGGGTGAGTGGGTGGGTGAGTGAGTGAGTGGGTGGGTGGACGCGAGAGGAGATGGGACGAGAGGGGAGGCGGGGGACGCGGGATGGGGAGGAGAGGAGGGGAGGAGAGGAGGGAGGGGAAGGGAGATGATGGAGGGGGAGATGGAGGAGAGGGGGATGTTAAAACGAGGCTGCACACTCTCTCGCGCATAGCTGCCACCACCATAGTCACCACCGCCGTTGCCGCCAACCACCACCATGGTCACCGCCAACTCTCCACTCTCTCCACAAGTGCCCCATCACCGATCACTGCCACCACCGTCACCACCACTGCCACCACCGTCACCACCACTGCCACCACCACCATAGTCACCACCAACTCTCCACTCTCTCCACAACTGCCCCATCACCGATTGGGAGTTGTGGGGGTGGAGTGTCCGATGGTACAAAATACCCAGGCAGGTGCTTAGTTTTGGTGGGGCTGATGGTAAGGCCCCACCTCTTAGTGGCACGCTCCAGTCTCAGCAGCAGCGTCTCCAACTCCTCCCCTGAATGAGCAGCTATTACCAAGTCATCAGCATACATAACGTGGTTGAGCAATAGGGAGCCATCCCTTGACCGCACCCGGGCATCGATCAGCCTCTCATTGCATCTGTACCAGATGGAAATTCCTCCGGTACAGCCATCGAAGGCTTCACGAATTACGTGGTCGAAAGATGTTAAATAATGTGGGAGCCAGAGGACATCCCTGTCGCACCCTAAGGTGTACAGGGAATGGCTCCGACTCCGGGCCACGTAGTTTTACACGGGCCCGCTCACCATCATGAAGGTCCTTAATGACCGTGAGCAGAGGGTCAGGGACTCCGAAAGCACGAAGAACGACCCAGAGCCCAGGCCTACTGATGGTATCATAGGCCTTGACCAGGTCAATAAAGCAGAGATGTAGGTCTTGTTGGAATTCCCTACACCTCTGCTGTAGCAGACGGACAGAAAATACGGCATCTGTGCAGGACCGCCCTTTCCTGAAACCGCACTGGGGCTCCGCAAGCCTCTCCTCAGCGTGCCTGGCAAGGCGATGCTGAATAATCCTTGCCAGGACCTTTCCCGGCACACTGAGGAGTGAGATGCCCCTGTAGTTGTTACAGTCTGTGCGGTCCCCCTTCTTAAAGAGGGGGACCACCAGGGCATCCTTCCAATCCTGCGGAATCCGTCCAGTGATCCAGACTGTTATGATGTCATGTAGGGCAGTCTGTGCACAAACGCCACCCTCCCTCAGCATTTCGCTTGGGAGATCATCTCTGCCCGCTGCCTTTGCTGGTCTCGGACTCTGGATCGCCTTCAGTACTTCCTCAACAGACGGCAGCTCAGCCAGCCACTCACAGGGAGTGTGACTTCTTCTTCCCACCACAGTCACCACAGTCACCACCATCACCACCACCCACCACCACCACCACCACCCTCCCCACCACCACCATCACCATCCTCACCTTCATGAGCTTCTGCAGGTCCAGCGTGCGGTGCACGTGGCTACCATCCGGCCTCCCGGGCACCATCAGCAACATCCTCCCACTGCCTCCGACCGCCAGCTGCTGCTGCTGCTGTTGCTGCTGCTGCTGCTGCTGCATCGCCATCAACAGCTGCTGCTGCTGCTGCTGCTGTTGCATGGAAGCTGCGGGCACCGCGGCTGTGCCGGGCCTCGCCAGCGGCGACAGCTTGGGTTCGACGCGCACGCCACAAGCGGGCGCAGCCTGGTACGGAGCGGCAGCGGCGCGAGCGCCATCCAACGACGTCCGTTGCAAGGAGGCGCGGCGCTGCTGCTGCTGTTGCTGTTGCTGCTGCTGCTGTTGCTGCTGCTGCTGCTGCTGTTGCTGCTGCAAGTGGATTTGATCCGCCTGCAGGGGAGAGGCGAGAGTGCAGGCGGGCAGGCGAGGTGAGGTGAGGTGGGGACGTACTTCGCGCGAGCGACAAACCGTCTCTCGTCGGCCCTTTCGGTCAAGTCACGTTGAAGGGAAAACAACAAAGAGCGCGTAAAAACGATGAGAATCCTCACGACGTTTCGACCGTAGCGCAAACGGCCGTCATCGGGTGTGGGGGAAAAAAAACCAACGGCAAAGAAAACATTTGACAGAAGCAGCGGTTCCGCGTTTTATTCATTTATTTATTCGTTAAAAAAAACAAAAACCTGCGTTTGTGTTCATTTATATATATGAAAAAAAAAACGTTTTTATAAATAACCGCCACTTGTTTCAAATGGTTTTTTTTGCCGCTGGTTTTTCCACACCTGTCGAAACGTCGTGAGAATTTTTTTTCGTCGTTTTATACGTGTTTAATTATTTTATCGTTTCCCTTCAAGGTGACCTTACCGAAAGAGCTAAGAATATGAATTACTGCAGTCACGAAAGCTTTAAATCAAAATTTAAACTATGAACTGTTTGAACTAAGCTATTCTCAACTGAAAAATTGTTTGTGTTTGACCGGCTAGTGCCCCATTGAAGCAACTGTGTGTCTCTTAGTCACAAGCGGCCTGGTCATCACAAACTAAACTAATAAAACTATAAACTATTTTTATTTCACCAGCTACTGTGTGTCTCTTAGTCACAAGCAGCCTGGCCATCACAAATTAAACTATTAAACTATAAAACTATTTTTATTTCACCAGCTACTGTGTGTCTCTTAGTCACAAGCGGCCTGGTCATCACAAACTAAACTATTAAACTATTTTTATTTCACCAGCTACTGTGTGTCTCTTAGTCACAAGCGGCCTGGTCATCACAAACTAAACTATTAAAATATTTTTATTTCACCAGCTACTGTGTGTCTCTTAGTCACAAGCGGCTTGACCATCACAAACTAAACTATAAAACTATTTTTATTTCACCAGCTACTGTGTGTATCTGTCACAAGCGGCCTGGCCATCACAAACTAAACTATTAAACTATAAAACTATTTTTTATTTCACCAGCTAATGCCCCATTTGAAGCTACTGTGTATCTCTTAGTCACAAGCGGCCTGACCATCACAAACTAAACTATTAAACTATAAACTATTTTTATTTCACTAGCTACTGTGTGTCTCTTTGTCACAAGCGGCCTGACCATCACAAACTAAACTATTAAACTATAAACTATTTTTATTTCACTAGCTACTGTGTGTCTCTTAGTCACAAGCGGCCTGGTCATCACAAACTAAACTATTAAACTATAAACTATTTTTACTTCACCAGCTACTGTGTCTCTTAGTCACAAGCAGCCTGGCCATCACAAACTAAACTATTTTTATTTCACCAGCTACTGTGTGTCTCTTAGTCACAAGCGGCCTGGCCATCACAAACTAAACTATTAAACTATAAAACTATTTTTATTTCACCAGCTACTGTGTATCTGTCACAAGCGGCCTGGTCATCACAAACTAAACTATTAAACTATAAAACTATTTTTATTTCACCAGCTACTGGTGTCTCTTAGTCACAAGCGGCCTGGCCATCACAAATTATAGCTCGGCAAAGTAGCTGATAATCATCATCACGTGAGACCATAAAAATCCGCAGAAACCACAGAGACCCATACTCATCGCGGCCCAAACTAAACTCTTTTTTAATGTACCAGGTACAGCCCACGTATGATAGCCCAAAGAAGCGAATAATCATCATCACGTGGGACATTTAGAGGAGCTAAAATACTCTCAATGCGTGACGTCCATTCCAAAACGTGGAGGGGGAAAAACCCGGAGGATCTGGAGGAAAATCCGCGCAAGCATCACAGGGAGAGGGACGGAAACTTCAAATACACAGCTGCAGGTATCAACAGGGTCGGTATCGAACCCACGACCTCCTGCGTACCAAGCGAGGTAGTTAACATCTCATCAGGGTCGGGATAGAACCCACGACCTCCTGTGTACCAGGCGAGGTAGTTAACATCTCATCAGGGTCGGTATCGAACCCACGATCTCCTGTGTACCAGGCGAGGTAGTTAACATCTCGTCAGGGTCGGTATCGAACCCACGATCTCCTGTGTACCAGGCGAGGTAGTTAACATCTCGTCAGGGTCGGTATCGAACCCACGATCTCCTGTGTACCAGGCGAGGTAGTCAACATCTCGTCAGGGTCGGGATAGAACCCACGACCTCCTGCGCACCAGGCGAGTTAGTCAACATCTCCGAGCCACCGTGAAATAGGGCGCTCGTCCCACGCTAGGTGCGCTTTGAGAAAGAGACACACCAAGACCTAGGTCTCGAACCCAAGCTCTGTGTCTCTGACATGGCCATCGTGAACCCCACCCACCCACACGGCCGTCGTGAACCCCACCCACCCACACGGCCACCGTGAACCCCACCCACCCACACGGACACCGTGAACCCCACCCACCCACACGGCCACCGTGAACCCCACCCACCCACACGGACACCGTGAACCCCACCCACCCACACGGCCACCGTGAACCCCACCCACCCACACGGACACCGTGAACCCCACCCACCCACACGGCCACCGTGAACCCCACCCACCCACCCACACGGCCATCGTGAACCCCACCCACCCACACGGCCACCGTGAACCCCACCCACCCACACGGTCATCGTGAACCCCACCCACACACACGGCCACCGTGAACCCCACCCACACACACGGCCACCGTGAACCCCACCCACCCACACGGACACAGTGAACCCCACCCACCCACACGGACACAGTGAACCCCACCCACCCACACGGCCACCGTGAACCCCACCCACCCACACGGACACCGTGAACCCCACCCACCCACACGGACACATGGAACCCCACCCACCCACACGGACACAGTGAACCCCACCCACCCACACGGACACCGTGAACCCCACCCACCCACACGGACACATGGAACCCCACCCACCCACACGGACACAGTGAACCCCACCCACCCACACGGACACAGTGAACCCCACCCTCTACCCCTCCCCCTGCCTCACCTGTGCCTGGGCTCGGGCGAGTAGCAGAGATTCCGGGGGTCCGTGTAGACCCCTCGGGGGCGCCCCCCCCATATCCGCAATCAGTCCCTGACCCCCAAGGAGGTGCGACGCTCCTGGGTGGTGACTTCCGGATATGGGGGTCCCCGAATGGTGGGTTCCGGACATCGGGGTCCCGGGATGGTGCGTTCCGGATATGGGGGTCCCGGGATGGTGCATTCCGGATATGGGGGTCCCAGGATGGTGCGTTCCGGATATGGGGGTTCCAGGATGGTGCGTTCCGGATATGGGGGTTCCAGGATGGTGAGTTGTGGATACTGGGGTTCCAGGATAGTGGGTTCCGGGATGGTGTGTTCCGGATACGGGGGTTCCGGGATGGTGGGTTCCGGATATGGGGGTTCCGGGATGGTGGGTTCCGGGATGGTGGGTTGCGGATACGGGGGTCCCGGGATGGTGGGTTGCGGATACGGGAGTCCCGGAATGGTGGGTTGCGGATACCGGGGTTCCGGGATGGTGGCTTCCGGGATGGTGCGTTCCGGATACGGGGGTCCCGGGATGGTGGGTTCCGGGATGGTGCGTTCCGGATACGGGGGTCCCGGGATGGTGCGTTCCGGATATGGGGGTTCCAGGATGGTGAGTTGCGGATACGGGGGTCCCGGGATGGTGCGTTCCGGAATGCAGGATGGCCGAGTGGTGAGCGGCAGATATCGGGGCTCCGGGTAAATTTGGGGCGCTTTTAGTTCGTGTGACTTGCTGCTGTTGTTGTTGTTGCTGCTGCAGTTGCTGTTGTTGTTGTTGCTGGTGATGGGGGTGATGGTGCTGGTGATGGGGGTGATGGTGCTGATGGGCCAGGCTGTGATGTTGCTGCTGCTGTTGCTGCTGCTGCTGCTGATGATGGTGCTGATGTTGTGGGAGGCCGTGGTCTGTGTCACTCTGAGCCTGTGGGAGTGAGGAGGGGGGGTCGCATGAAACGTCACCGTCATCACTACAACCACCACCACCACTACAACCACTACAACCACCACCACTACAACCACCATCACCACCACCACTACAACCACCACCACTACAACCACCACCACCACCACTATCACTACAACCACCATCACTACAACCACCATCACTACAACCAACACAATCACTACAACCAACACCATCACCACCACCACCACTACAACCACCACCACTACAACCACCATCAGCACCACCACCACCACTACAACCACCATCATCACCACCACCACTACAACCACCACCACCACTACAACCACCACAACCACCACAACCATCACCGCTACAACCACCACCACTACAACCACCACCACTACAACCACCACCACCATCACTACAACCACCACCATCACTACAACCACCATCACTACAACCAACACAATCACTACAACCAACACCATCACCACAACCACCACTACAACCACCAGCACCACTACCACAACCACCACCACCACTACAACCACCACCACCACCACAACCACCATCACTACAACCACCACCACCACAAGCACCACCACTACAACCACCATCACAACCACCACCAACACTACAACCACCACCACCACTACAACCACCATCACGACAACCACCACCACCACCACTACAACCACCATCACTACAACCACCACCACCACTACAACCACCATCACTACAACCACCACCACCACTACAACCACCACCATCACTACAACCACCATCATCACTACAACCACCACCACCATCACTGCAACCACCACCACCACACGCACCACCAACAACACACACACGCACCACCATCACACACACGCACCACCATCACACACACACGCACAACCACCATCACACACCACACGCACCACCACCATCACACACACGCACCACCATCACACACACGCACCACCACCATCACACAACACACACCACCACCATCACACAACACGCACCACCACCATCACACAACACGCACCACCACCATCACACAACACACACCACCACCATCACACACACACCACCACCATCACACACACGCACCACCACCATCACACAACACACACCACCACCATCACACACACGCACCACCACCATCACCACACGCACCACCACCATCACACACACGCACCACCACCATCACCACACGCACCACCACCATCACCACACGCACCACCACCACCATACAACACGCACAACCACCACCACACAACACGCACCACCACCATCACACAACACGCGCCACCACCACCACCATCACACAACACGCACCACCACCATCACACAACACGCACCACCACCATCACACAACACGCGCCACCACCATCACACAACACGCGCCACCACCAACACACAACACACAACACGCACCACCACCACACACACACACATGCACCACCACCACCATCACACAACACGCACCACCATCACACACCACACGCACCACCACCATCACACAACACGCGCCACCACCATCACACAACACACAACACGCACCACCACCACCACACACACACACACATGCACCACCACCACCATCACACACCACACGCACCACCACCATCACACAACACGCACCACCACCATCACACACACCACCATCACACAACACGCACCACCACCATCACACAACACGCACCACCAACACACACACGCACCACCATCACACACACAACACGCACCACCACCATCACACACGCACGCACCGCCAACCACCACCAACACACACCACACGCGCCACCAACCACCATCACCCACCACCACCACCCACCGTGCCATGTTCAGGAAAACAGAACCAACCCACCAACCGCGGCCGGTTCCTACCTGCACGGTCACCATTCCCCTCGAAGGCGGCAGGCCGCCGGCACCACCGGTGCCGCCGCCGGCAAACTGCCGGTACTGCGGCTCCCCATAGACTCCACGGTAGTCGTGGTACAAACTGCCGGTTGCTGCTCCCATCCCGCCGTGCTGCTGCTGGTGCTGCTGGTGCTGCTGGTGCTGTTGCTGGTGCTGCTGGTGGTGGTGCTGCTGCTGCTGGGCCGTTTTGGCGGAGGGCGATGGGGCGCCGGGAGAGGAGGAGTCGTAGGCCCGGCGAGCCTCCGGCGTGGCGGGAGGCTCGTCCTGCGGTGGATGGCCGTAGAGTCCCGAGGGGCCAATCACCACCACCTGCAGCGGGGAAACAGAGGGGTTCACGGTGGCCGTGTGGGTGGGTGGGGTTCACGGAGGCCGTGTGGGTGGGTGGGTGGGGTTCACGGCGGCCGTGTGGGTGGGTGGGGTTCACGGTGGCCGTGTGGGTGGGTGGTGTTCACGGTGACCGTGTGGGTGGTGGATTCACTGTGACCGTGTGGGTGGGTGGTTTTCACGATGTCCGTGTGGGTGGGTGGGGTTCACGGAGGCCGTGTGGGTGGGTGGGTGGGGTTCACGGTGGCCGTGTGGGTGGTGGGTGGGGTTCACGGTGGCCGTGTGGGTGGGTGGGTGGGGTTCACGGACGGCCGTGTGGGTGGGTGGGGGTGGGGTTCACGGACGGCCGTGTGGGTGGGTGGGTGGGGTTCACGGTGGCCGTGTGGGTGGGTGGGTGGGGTTCACGGAGGCCGTGTGGGTGGGTGGGTGGGGTTCACGGAGGACCGTGTGGGTGGGTGGGTGGGGTTCACGGATGGCCGTGTGGGTGGGTGGGTGGGGTTCACGGTGGCCTGTGTGGGTGGGTGGGTGGGGTTCACGGTGGCCGTGTGGGTGGGTGGGGTTCACGGTGGCCGTGTGGGTGGTGGGTGGGGTTCACGGTGGCCTGTGTGGGTGGGTGGGTGGGGTTCACGGTGGCCGTGTGGGTGGGTGGGGTTCACGGTGGCCGTGTGGGTGGGTGGGGGTTCACGGTGGCCGTGTGGGTGGGTGGGTGGGGTTCACGGAGGCCGTGTGGGTGGGTGGGTGGGGTTCACGGATGGCCGTGTGGGTGGGTGGGTGGGGTTCACGGTGGCCGTGTGGGTGGGTGGGTGGGGTTCACGGTGGACCGTGTGGGTGGGTGGGGTTCACGGTGGCCGTGTGGGTGGGTGGGTGGGGTTCACGGAGGCCGTGTGGGTGGGTGGGTGGGGTTCACGGAGGCCGTGTGGGTGGGTGGGTGGGGTTCACGGTGGCCGTGTGGGTGGGTGGGTGGGGTTCACGGTGGCCGTGTGGGTGGGTGGGTGGGGTTCACGGCGGACCGTGTGGGTGGGTGGGTGGGGTTCACGGAGGCCGTGTGGGTGGGTGGGTGGGGTTCACGGAGGCCGTGTGGGTGGGTGGGGATTCACTGTGACCGTGTGGGTGGGTGGGGGTTCACGGTGGTCGTGTGGGTGGGTGGGTGGGGTTCACGGTGACCGTGTGGGTGGGTCGGGGTTCACGGAGGCCGTGTGGGTGGGTGGGTGGGGTTCACGGCTGACCGTGTGGGTGGGTGGGGTTCACGGCGGCCGTGTGGGTGGGTGGGATTCACTGTGGCCGTGTGGGTGGGTGGGTGGGGTTCACGGTGGCCGTGTGGGTGGGTGGTTTTCACGATGTCCGTGTGGGTGGGTGGGGTTCACGGTGGTCGTGTGGGTGGGTGGGGTTCACGGTGACCGTGTGGGTGGGTCGGGTTCACGGAGGCCGTGTGGGTGGGTGGGTGGGGTTCACGGTGACCGTGTGGGTGGGTGGGGTTCACGATGGCCGTGTGGGTGGGTGGGGTTCACGGAGGCCGTGTGGGTGGGTGGGTGGGGTTCACGGAGGCCGTGTGGGTGGGTGGGTGGGGTTCACGTTGGCCGTGTGGGTGGGTGGGGTTCACGGTGGCCGTGTGGGTGGGTGGGGTTCACGATGGCCGTGTGGGTGGGTGGGGTTCACGGCGGCTGTGTGGGTGGGTGGGGTTCACGGTGTCCGTGTGGGTGGGTGGGGTTCACTGTGGCCGTGTGGGTGGGTGGCGTTCACGGTGGCCGTGTCCATACCCTGCAGAAGAGGTGTAGGACGTACAAACACTCGCACACTTACTCCAAAGACCTCCCCCTCCGTGTATACTCCTCGGTACTTTCGGTAAAGCCACGTAGGAGAAGAAAAATAATAATAATAATACTAAATCGTCGACGTTTCGATCGCTTGCCTGGCCATCGCAACGTCGTGAAACTATTCAGATTTTTCCAGCCCCTCCCTCCCCCTCCCACTTTTATGAATGCACGACGGGCGGACAGACGGACGGACACAATAATCCCCTGCTGGTGCTGGTACTGCTGCTGCTGGTGCTGCTGGTGCTGCTGCTGGTGCTGCTGGTACTGCTGCTGCTGCTGCTGCTGCAGTAAACCAGCGGAGAGAATTCCTAGCACAGCACGAACACAGCACCCAACCCCGCCCCTGGGTCCCACGGAGAGGTGCCGGAACGCCCACCCACCCCCCGCTCCAAATTTCTCACCGTCAACATCCCGAGGAGCCACCGGCCACCGGCCGCCGGCCGCCGGCGATGCCGGACGCCCGAAACGCGACGATTCATCGCGCGCCAAGGGGCGGTTTTTCGCTCCTCTGTGGCCCAGGTACGGACGCAAAAAACTAGCGGCGCCATTTCCACCCCCTCCCCCATTGGAGCTTGGGGCCCCCCCACGAACAATCCGGTGGAGCAACAAACGCTGGTGCGCCGGGAAAGGAAAACCGCGGTGCGGTGCGGTGTGTGGTGTGTGGTGTGTGTGGTGGAGAAACTTCGCCGGAAACCGAACACACACAAACACACACACACACACACGAAAAAAAATTAAAATATAAACGTAATATTTTTGGTTAGTTTCGCTAAGCACTTGCGATTCATTATCTTGACCCGAAGCTTTCGAGAGAGTGCCGTAATCAAGCGCCATCACCCCCCACAACCACCACCACCACCCCCCACCGCACCTCCTGCGAGCCGAGGCTGCCCGCCGGCGCTCCCTGCTGGCGCCCGTAGCCGCCGCCGCCGGCGCCGCCGCCGGTGCCGCCGGTGCCGCCGGTGCCGCCGGCGTCGTGGCCCAGCGCTATCACGCTCGCCGACGCCGTCTCCTGCTTCACCACCACCACCAGCGGCGGCGGCGGCGCCGTCGGCTGCTGCTGCTGCTGCTGCTGCTGCTTCCCCTCCGCTTGCGCCAACGTCACCACCACCTCCTGCTGCTGCTGCTGCTGCTGCTGCTGCTGCGTCCCGGCATGCGACAGCTTTGCAGAGGCCGGCGCCGACGCCGCCGACGACGAGATGGTGATGACCGAGGTGGGCCCGCCGCTGGCGCCCTGCTGCTGCTGCTGCTGCTGCTGGTGGTGGTGGTGGTGGTGGCCGTGATGTGGCGCCGGCTGATGGTGATGCTGCTGCTGCTGCTGCTGCTGGTGATGATGATGATGATGTTGTTGGTGGTGGTGGTGGTGGTGATGGTCCGGCTTCTGCAGCGCTATCACGTGGTGATGCGGGTGGTGCGGAGGAGGAGGAGGAGGGCTGGGGTGGTACTGCTGGCCCGGCGCCAGCGAGTGCGCCTTGCCGTAGCCGGCGCCCGGCGACGCGCTCAGCCTCTGCTGCGCCATCGAATCGCCGACGGCCTTGCACATCTTCACGCCGACGCCGATGCCGCCGACCGGCACCGGGTTCGGCGCCGGGTTCGGCGCCGCCCCGCCGCCGCCGCCGCCGGCCGGCGCCGCCTGCCCGGCCTCGGCGCCGTCGAGGGAGCTGGCCGGCGGGATCTGGCTGATGGGGGCGCTGACGCGCTGCGGTCCCTCCGCCTTGTGGCCCGAATGGCTGAGCAGCACGACGGTGCCCTCGCTCGTCTTGACGCGCAGGCCCGCTCCGGCGCCCGCCAGGCTCACCACGTCGCCGGCGCCAGCCCCAACTCCAACTCCAACTCCTCCCGCTCCGCCAGCCGCGCCCGCCGGCAACCCCAGGGAGACGCCGGCGGCACCGACGCCGGCACCGACGCCGGCGCCGCAGTGCCGCGTGTCTTCGTACGGCAGGAAGGGCATGCCGGTCGGGAACGGGCGAGCGGGGAAGGAGGCCTCCTCGCCGACGTCGCCCGGCGCCGGCGCCGCCGCCACCACCACCGCCGCCGCCGCCACCGCCGCTTTGTAGCGCTGCTTGGGCGCCGTCGGCACGGCCGGCTCGGGCGCCGCCTGCTGCTGCTGCTGCTGCTGCTGCTGTTTGTCGTCGGCCGCCGAGGGAGAGGCGGAGGAGGAGGAGGCGGTGGATGAAGAGGAGGAGGAGGCGGCGGAGGAGGCGGTGGAGGCGGAAGAGGCGGTGGAGGCGGAGGAGGCGGCGGAGGAGGCGGTGGAGGCGGCAGAGGCGGTGGAGGCGCGCACCGGCGGGCTGATGACGGAGCGAGGGGACGCCGGCAGCTGGCGCCGCTCGGCCGTCACGATGACAGCCGACGGATCGCCCCCGCCGGCCGTCAGCGACAGCAGCTGCTGCTGCGGCTGCTTCGGCGCCGGCACTGCCGGCGGCGCCGCGTGCGGCCCGCCGGCGCCGGCGCCGAAGCCTCGCGCCGGCGCCGGCACCGCCGGCGCCGGCGCCGGCGGGGAGAGCGACGGCGCCGCGGTCACCAGCGGCTCGGCGACGCTCGCCGTCACGTAGGTGGGCGCCAGCGTGTGTGCCGGCACGTACTTGGGCTCCATGAGGATCTTGCGCAACGTGCTGGCGCTCGGGTCGATGTCCGAGGCCTTCGTGTCGGGGGGAGCCGGCGCCTGCTGGTTGTGATGCTGCTGCTGGTGGTTGTGCTGCTGGTTGTGCTGCTGGTTGTGCTGCTGCTGCTGGTTGTGCTGCTGCTGCTGGTGCTGCTGCTGGTGCTGCTGGTGCAAGGGAACCGGCGACCTCCGCGAGCCGTCGTGTGGCGCCGGCGCCAGGCTTGCGATGGACACCCCGAACCTCGAAGGTGGCGGCGTGAGCAGCCCCGACACTATCGACTGCTGGTGCTGCTGCTGCTGGTGCTGCTGCTGGTGCTGCTGGTGCTGCTGGTGCCGGAGGTAGGGCTGCTGCTGGCAGCTGGCAAAGTCCGGGGGCAGGGACAGCGGCGGCGGCTGAGGGAGGTTCGCCAGCGCCGGCAGCGGCGGCACCAGGTGGCCGCCGACGCCGCCGCCGCCGACGCCGCCGCCGGCGCCGGCGGAGCCCGCGGCCGCGCCGGCCGCGGGCTGCGTCCTCGCCATCCCGGCAAAAGCGCCGGCGACGGAGCCGCCCGGCGGCGAAGACAGCAGGAAGCGCGGCGTTGGTAGCCGGTGCCTCGTCTCCGCTTGCGCCGGCAGGGCGAGCGGTAGGGCAGCCGCCGGCCGGCGGCGGCTGCTCGACGGCCAGTTTTGCCGCTTGCGCCGGCGCAGGAGACGCCGGCGTCGGCACCGGCGACCGTCGTCGGCGCCGGCGTTGGAGTTGGCGCCGCCGTTGGCAAAGGCGCCGCCGTTGGCACCGGCGCCGGCGCCAACACCGCAGCTGCCGGCGCCGCTGCTCCCGCGACCGGCGCCGCTGGTGCAGCTGCCTGGCCCTGCTGCCGGTGCCGCCGACGAAGCCGCGTCGACAGACGACTCCGACTCGCTGGCGCTGTCCGAAACGTCGCTCTTGCCGAGGGCTCCCGAGCCGGCGCCGAGGCGGCGCCCGCGCCCTCGTCCCCTCGCCGGTGCCGCCGCCGCCGTCGTCCGTCGTTTCGGGGACCTCATCTCCGCCGCCGGCGGCGCCGTCACCGCCGCTCCGAGCGCCCGCCCGGGGTCGCCGCCGGACGAGACGTCCAGGGACGTCTCGTCCGGCATGATCGAGTCGATGGCCGCCGCCAACTCCGTCTCCACCTTCTCATCGACGGCGCCCGTCACCGCCTCCCCCTCCTCCTCCTTCACCGGCTGCTGCCGCCGCCGCCGCCGCTTTGGCCCCTCGTCTTCGTTTGCCGCCGCCGCCGCAGCCGCAGCCGGCGCCTCGAGGCTGTGCACGGCGCGCTCCAGCTCCTCCTGCCGCTTGCGAGACAAGCCGGCGCCCTCGCCGCCCTGCCACCGCCTCCTCCTTCTCCTCCTTCCTCCTTCTCCTCCTCCTTCTCCTCCTCCTCATCTTCCCTCTCGGCCACCACCGCCTCCTCCTCCTCCTCCTCCTCCTCGTTGCAGTCGGCGGCGGCCGCGGCCGCGGTCGCGCCGGCGCTGCTGCGCCGCCGCTTGCGCCCGGCCGCCCTCGCCTGCTGCTGCTGCTGCTGCTGCTGCTGGGCCCTGCTGCTCCGGTGCTCCCTGCCACTCCGAAAGAACGGCTCATCCTCCGCCACCACCGCCGCCACCGCCGCCGCCGCCTCTCGCGACCGGCTCCTCTGCCGGTTCCTGCGCTGGCGCCCTCCCCTCGGCCGCCCCTCCTCCGCCGGCGCCGTCACGGCCGCCGGCTCCTCTTGCGCCGACGGCTCCTTGCCCGCCGGCGGCCGCCGACGAACCGCCGGCGGCGTCTGCGGCGGCGCCGGCGGTTCGACGTCGCCCTCGCCCTCCTCCTCCTCGCCCTCCTCCTCCTCCTCCTCCTCGTCCTCCCCCTCCTCGTTGCTCTCCAGCCGCTCGCGCTCGGACAGCCGACGCGACCGCTGGCGCCGCGGTCGGACCGCCGGCGCCGCCGATTTCCTTCCGCCGTTGCCCTTCGGTTCGTCCGCCGGCGCCGGCGCCGGTGCCACCGGTGCCGCCGGCGCCGCCGCGGGGGAGCTCCAGGGCTCGCCGTCCGCTGGCGCCTCCTCCGAGTTCTCCTCCGGCACAGAGTCTCCCGTCCTCCGGCGCCCGCCCTTAGGAGGGCGCCCTCTCCGTGCCGCCGGCGCCGCCGCCGGCACGGCCGCCGCCGCCGGCGCCTGCTGCTCGCCGGCGTTCCGCTTGCGAGCCGGCCGGGCGGCGGTGCTGCTGCTGCTGCTGCTGTCCACAGCCGCCGCCGCTGCGGCTGAGGCTGGCGCCAGCTGCTGCTGCTGCGTCTCCTCGATCCGCACCGTCGCGTACACGGACTTCACGTTGCGTCGTCGCACTCGGCCCGTCTCGCCGGCGCCGGTGCCGGCCACCGGCACCGGCACCGCCGCCGGCACGGCCGCGGCGCCGGCCGCGGCGCCGGCCGCGGCGCCGGCCTCGCCCGCTTCGTTGTCGGCGCCCGACGCTCGCCTCGCCGCCGGCTTCCCCGGCGACTTCTCCGCGGCGCCGGCGCTCTTGGCCGCGTGCCGGGCGCCGCGCGTGGTGGTGGCGGCGACTGCCGCCGTCGTCGCCGGCGCAGCAACCGCCTCGGCCTCTTCCCGCTCTGCCGGCGCCGTTTTGGCGGCGGCGCGCCTGGGCGACAGCGCGCGCCGGGTCTTGTCGGCGGTGGTGCCGATCCGCTCGCTCTTCCTCGTGCTGGTCGCGGTCGCCGCAACCGCCGCCGACGCCGCCGCGTCTTCGACGGCCGCCGACGCCGACGCCGCCGGCGCCGGCGCCGCCGCCGCGGCGGTTTGCTGCGCGCCGGACGAGCGGGCCCTCTTCGCTTTCGGCGCCGGCGAATGCTGCGGCTGCCGGCGCTTCTCCGGCGACGCCGAATCGCCGGCGTCCGTCTCCGCTTGCGCCTCGGCCGCTACCGCCGCCGGCTCCGCCCTCGCCGCCTTGGCCGACCTCACCGCCGGCGGCGGCTCCTCGGCTTCCGCGGCCGCGGGCGCCGGCGACGGCGGCCGTCTGGCGCCGGTCTCGTCCGAGCCGACGTGGGTGCCGTTCGAAGCGCCGCTTGCTGCGACCGCTGCTTCTGCCGGTGCTTCCTGTGCCGCCGGCGGCGCCGGTGCCGCCGGTGCCGCCGGTGCCGCCGGTGCCGCCGCCCGCTGTTTCCCACTCCTCTTAGCAGAAGCCTGCCGCCCGACCCGCTGGTCGCAAGGGACAGGCGCCGTCTCGCGCTCGCCCCTCGTTGAGTCGGCAACGTCTCTCGCTGCTGCTGCCGCCGGCGCTGCTGCCGGCGCTGGTGCCGGCGCTGCTGCCGGCGCTGCTGCCGGCGGAGCAGCAGCAGCAGCTGGAACCGGGAGCGGCTTCACGTCCCGGCCGCACTCGGGTGGCACTGGCGCCTCCTCTCGTCGCCGTTGGTCGCTCGGATGGCTCCGCTCGGGCGCCAGCTGCTGCTGCTGCTGCTGCTGGTGATTCTGTTGTTGTTGTTGCTGCTGCTGGTGATTCTGTTGTTGTTGTTGCTGCTGGTGTTGTTGCTGGTGATTCTGTTGCTGCTGCTGGTGATTCTGTTGTTGTTGCTGCTGCTGGTGATTCTGTTGTTGTTGTTGCTGCTGGTGATTCTGTTGTTGTTGTTGCTGCTGGTGATTCTGTTGCTGCTGCTGCTGGTGATTCTGTTGCTGCTGCTGGTGATTCTGTTGCTGGTGATTCTGTTGCTGCTGCTGGTGATTCTGTTGCTGCTGCTGCTGCTGGTGATTCTGTTGCTGCTGCTGGTGATTCTGTTGTTGCTGCTGCTGGTGATTCTGTTGCTGCTGCTGCTGCTGGTGATTTTGTTGCTGCTGATGATTCTGATGCAGAGGATTCTGCTGCTGTTGCTGCTGCTGATTCTGATGATGCTGCTGCTGATTCTGCTGCTGCTGCTGTTGTACTTTTGACGCAATCTCTGTGGAAGTCTTTGACGAAACTGCCGCCGCCGCCATCGAAGCTTCCTGCTGCTGCTGCTGCTTTTGCTGCTCCTCCTGCTGCTGCTTTTGCTGCTTTTGCTGCTTCTGCTGCTGCTCCTGCTGCTGCTTTTGCTGCTCCTGCTGCTCCCTGCTTCTCTGCTGCTGCTGTTGCCTCGTGAGTTCGACGTAACGGCTGTGGAACAGCCCAACGTTGGGTTCGAGGTCGGTGTCGCTGATGCCGCCGCCGCCGCCGCTGCTGCTGATGATGATGCCGCTGGTGCTGCTGATGATGCTGCTGCAGATGCTGCTGCTGGCGCTCTGTCGGCAGCAGGGGAGGTGGGGGGTAGGGGAGAGAAAGGCAGCGTGGTGATGACTCACACAGAGACCCAGAGACTCACCACACAGAGACCCACAGACTCACCAACAACAACAACCGCCATTCGCCACTAAGTGGCGGTGACGTCACCACGACGCTACACCTCTTCTGTAGCAGACGGACAGAAAATATGGCATCTGTGCAGGACCGCCCTTTCCTGAAACCGCATATGGGGCTCCGCAAGCCTCTCCTCAGCGTGCCTGGCAAGGCGATGTTGAATAATCCTTGCCAGGACCTTTCCCGGCACACTGAGGAGTGAGATGCCCCTGTAGTTGTTACAGTCTGTGCGGTCCCCCTTCTTAAAAAGGGGGACCACCAGGGCATCCCTCCAATCCTGCGGAACCCGTCCAGTGGTCCAGACTGTTGTTATGATGTCATATAGGGCAGTCTGTGCACAAACGCCACCCTCCCTCAGCATTTCGCTTGGGAGATCATCTCTACCCGCTGCCTTTCCTGGTCTCGGACTCCGGATCGCCTTCAGTACTTCCTCAACAGATGGCACCTCAGCCAGCCACTCACAGGGGGTGACTTCTTCCAATATTTGAGGCACCGCAGCCTCAGCAGGGTCATCCTCACTTTGTGCCACGATGTTTTCCTGGCTGAGGGATTTTCCCTCCCCCAGGACCTCACAGAAATGCTCAGCAAATCTGCAAACCTGTTCCTGGGGGTCGGTGATTGGGTCACCGTTTTTTCCCCTGTAGCCGATGACAGTGGGCCTGTCGCTTTTTTTCTCAACCATCCTGAACACCTCCTCTGTCAGCCAGGGTCTCTGGGGAGGTCTGGACCGCGTACCCAAAGCAGCCATTGCAGCTGCATGAGTCACAGTCCTAAACCTCGCCCATTTACCCTCGACATCAGAAGGAGTCGGGGACGATGCCAATCCCAGCCGCAAGCGATGATGAAATTCTCGCTTGCAACTTTCATCAGATAGCTGAGACCAGGCCACTTTAGGTTGGAATGGGGTCCTGGGTGTACACCCACCACGGGAGTGGAAGAATGGCAGGCGCATCTTACAGATGACTAGTCGATGGTCAGAGGGCAGATCAGCTCCACGGTAGGTCCTGGTGTCAAGGACATGGGCTCGCATCCGCTGGTCCGTCACTATGTAGTCCAGCAGATGTTCTTGCTTGGACCCGGCATGCATCCATGATGTTGTGTGGATGCGCCGATGCCGGAACAGCGTGTTGGTAATTACAAGCCCATAGGCTGCACACAAATCTAGCAGCCTCCTAGCGTTGTTATTGAGCTGATCTGGCCCATGCCCTCCAATCACTCCAGACCAGGTGCCAGTATCATGGCAAACTCGGGCATTGAAGTCACCCAACATGATGACTCTATCCCGAGGGGCCACTTTAGCCAGCACCTGTGACAGGAGGTCATAGAAGGCATCTGACTCATCGGCTTTGCCTGCATCCCTCCACGGATGTTCATCTTCGGTGGGGGCATAAGTAACCACGACCACCATTCCTCGCCTCCAGTTGATGGGAAGGCGAGCCCAAAGTAGCCTGGGGCTTACAGCTTCCCACACCTCACCGCCACGCTCCCACGCCCCCTTCATTCTTTTGTTCAAAAGAAGAGCCACACCCTGTTGTTTGGCAGTCTGCTGCCCCGAGTAGAGGACTGTCCACCCCTCATGGTGGCAGGAGCCAGAGCCGGTCCACCGGACCTCCGGAATGCCACACAGATCCAGGCGGTACCGGTCCAGCTTCCGACAGAGGAGTGGCAGCCTCTCCTCCGCAGTGAGCGTTCGAACATTCCACGGACTCACCACACAGAGACCCACAGACTCACCACACAGAGACCCACAGACTCACCACACACAGAGACCCACAGACTCACCACACAGAAACCCACAGACTCACCACACAGAGACCCACAGACTTACCACACACAGAGACCCACAGACTCACCACACACAGAGACCCACAGACTCGCCACACAGAGACCCACAGACTCACCACACAGAGACCCACAGAGACTCACCAACACAGAGACCCACAGACTCACCACACACAGACACACAGACTCACCACACAGAGACCCACAGACTCACCACATAGAGACCCACAGACTCACCACACATTCACCCACAGACTCACCACACAGAGACCCACAGACTCACCACACAGAGACCCACAAACTCACCACACATTCACCCACAGACTCACCACACAGAGACCCACAGACTCACCACACAGAGACCCACAGACTCACCACACACAGAGACCCACAGACTCACCACACAGAGACCCACAGAGACTCACCACACAGAGACCCACAGAGACCCGTACACGGACACCCACAGACAAGAACCCTGACCTGCACCGCTGCGTGGAGTCTCCTGCCGCTGGCACCGCCGCCGCCGCCGCCGCCGGCGCCGCCGGCCGTCGAGTCCGGCGCCGGCGCGGCCACGGCTCCGCCGCCGGTGCCACCGGCGCCGCCCTCCTCGCCGCTCTCCCTCCGCTCCAGGTGCTCGAGCCTCTTCGAGTCCTGCTCGAAGATGGAGCTGTGTAGGAAGCGTGACGCGAAGAGGTGGCGACACGTCGCTCCACCGCTGCCGCCACCGCCGGCACCGCCGGCACCGCCGGTGCCACCGGCGCCGCCGCCCCCCGCGGCCGCCCCCTTCTCCTCCTCGTCGGGGGCGGCCGGTGCCGCTGTCGCCGCCGACGATGACGCGGACGACGATGACCCGGACGAGGAGGAGGAGGAGGAGGGAGCCGAGAAGGACGCCGATGAGGAGGAGCCCGTCAGCGAGGACGACGTCGGAGGTGGCGCCGCCGATGATAACGGGGCGGAGGCGATGGTGGTGGACGAGGAGGAGGAGGAGGAGGGCGGAGGAGAGGAGGAGGAGGAGTCCAGACGGTGGACGTCAGCGGAGACATCCATCCGCTTCTTTTTCTTCTGGTACCTGGTGGGGGCGTGGTGGGCGGAGAGGGCGGGGAAGGGTGAGTGGGTGGGTGAGTGGGTGGGTGGGTGGGTGAGTGGGTGGGTGGGTGAGTGGGTGGGTGAGCGGGTGGGTGGGCGGGTGGGTGAGTGAGTGAGTGGGTGGGTGAGTAGCTGAGTGGGTGGGCGAGTGAATGGCCGAGTGAGTGGGCATCTCTCACCACAGCGGCGTCGGCCTGCTCTCCGTTCCAGCGCCAGCCCCTACGCCGCCGCCGCCGCCGGCGACCTGCGCGCCGCCGCCGGCGCCGGCGCCGCCGGCCCTCCCGCCGGCGCCGAACCGCCCGAAAGGCGACCCGGGGAAGTCGAGGAAGGGCCAGTGCTCATCCCGCTTGCTCGACAGCGACTTGGCCCGCTCTAGCAGCGCCTTCGTGTCGGCGCTCACCGCCGCCGTCGCCGCCGCCGCCGCCGCCGCGGCCGGGGCGGCGGCGGCGCCGGCGCCGGCGCCGGCGCCGGCGGCCGAGGCCGACGCCGACGCCGACGGCGGGGGACCGGCCGCCCTCTCCTTATGCGGCAGGAACGGCGGCCTGGTGGCGCCGACGGCGTTGACGGCGACCTGCGGCGGCGGCGACGAGGGGACCGCCGGCGCCGCGCCGGAGCCCCGGGCCGACTTGGCCGGCGCCGGCGCCGCCGCCTCCTCGTCAGAGTCCGAGCGGACTTCTCCCGGCTCCAGCTCCCGCGCCGGGCGCCGTCGGATCCCCTCGCGCTTCACGGCGCAGCTGTGGAACGCCGCCGGCACCGCCGCCGCCGCCGCCAGCGGCGCCTCCGTCGGCGCCTCCGCCGTGTCAGGGACCGCGCTCCGGCCGCCGCCGCCGCCGCCGCCGCCGCCGGACAGCCTCCTCGCCTCGCCGATCTCCGCGGCCGCCGTGCGCCCGTCCGGTTCCCACGGCGACAGCGGCGAGTGCCGTCCCGGCGCCGGCTTCGCCGTCTCCCCGCCGTCTTCGCCGCCGACGGCGCCGGCGCCGGCGGCAGCCGCCGGCGCCGCCGGCCGCTCCCCTTCCGACGCCGGCGGCGGGCGGTAGTTTCGCTCGAGACGTCGGCGTTTGGCCGGCGGCGAGCGGTCGGGGGCGGCCGCCGGCGCCGCCGACGTCGCCGGCGTCGCCGGCGACGTCACCGGCGCCGGCGGCCGCTGCCCGTCGAGCGCCACCACCGCCACCGCCACCACCGCCGCCGCCGCCGCTTCCTGCTGCTGCAGCTGCAGGCGCCGAGACTTCTCCATCTGCTTGCGGTAGCCCTGCGAGTGGTCGATGTCGATGCAGAGGCGGTCGCCGGGCAGCTTGCGCGGCGAGAGATCCTGCCGCTGGTGCTGCCCCTGCTCCTGCCGGTGCTGCTGCTGGTGCTCGACGGCCGGCGCCGGTACGGCGGCGGGCGGAGCTTGCGCCCCGCGCGCCGCCTGAGTCTCCGGCTGACGGTGGTGGTTGTGGTGGTGGTGGTGGTGGTGGTGGTGGTGGTGGTGCGGGTGGTGCGGGTGGTGGTGGTGCCCGGCCACCGCCGGCGTTGACTTTGTCTCACCACCGCCGGTTTTCTTCGCCGGCGGCTGACCGCCGACGTCGGCGCCGTTCGGCGCCGGCGACAGGGAGGACGAGGACGAGGACGACGAGGAAGAGGATGCAGCGGCGGCTGCTCCGGCGTTGGCGCCCACCGGCGCCGCCGCCTTCTCCCCCCTCGATCGGCGGTGCTCCGACCGGGACTCCTTCCTCCTTTCGGCCGGAGCGGCCGGCGTCGCCTCTGCCGCCGCCGGAGCCGCCGCCGGAGCCGCCGAGGACGGCACGGGGCCGGCCGGCGATTTCTTCTGCTGGGATTCGGCGAAACGGCGCTTGCGTGCCTCCAGCTTCTCCCGCTCCGCCTCGTCCTGGGGCTGCTGCTGCTGCTGCTGCTGCTGCGCCATCGACGGTTCCGCAGCTTCTGTCGCCAGCTGCTGCTGCTGCTGCTGCTGGTGCTGGTGGTGCTGGTGGTGCTGATGGTGCTGGTGCTGGTGGTGGTGGTGCTTCTCTCTCCTGTGCCGGCTCCTCCCCTCCCGCTCCCTCTCCTCCGCCGGCGCCGTCCTCTCGCGATGAGCCTCACCCCACGCGGCACCGGCGGCAGCCGGCGCCGCCGCCGCCGGCAACACCGCCGGCACCGCCGGCGGCACCGCCGGCGGCACCGGCGGCGGCGCGTCGTGGCCGCGCTTGCCACGCTCGCCGACCCGCGTCACCGCCGACTCCAGGCAGCGCTCGCCGCCGCCCGAGCTCTTGCTCCTCGGCGGCGCCGCCTCCGGCCGATCGTCCGTCCCGGTGGCGGCGGTGGAGGCAGCCGGCTGCGGGCCGGGAGAATCCCGGCCGACCCTGTGCGACGCCGTCGCCCGCGCCGGCTTCTCCGCCGGCTTCTCCGGCACCTTCTCCGCCTTGTCCCTGCCGAAGCGGTCAGACGAGGACGAGGTGGTCGACTTGTCGCTGCCGGCGCGGCGCTCGCGCCGGGACGGCGGCTTCTCCTTGCGTTGCCGTTGCTCCCTGCCGGCGCCGTCCGGCTTGTACACCGCCGCCGCCTTCCCCCACTCCCCGGCGCCTCCGTCCCCCCGCTTGCCGTCCGCCCGCCCGCGCTCGCGGTGGGACGCCGGCGCCGCCTTGCCGTAGCAGCCGGCCCGAGCCGCCGGCGCCTCGGCCTCGCCGCTCCCGGCCGACAGCCCCGCGGAGGAGCTGCGCGCCCGCCGGGCCCCCGCGCCGGGGCTGTAGTCCTTCTGCGGCGCCAGCTGCACCTGCGACTGGATCGGCGGCGGCGCGGGCTGCTGGTGCTGCTGGCGGCCGCGCTCCGGCGCCGCGGCCGCGGCCATGGCCGCGGCCGCGGCGCGGCGGACGCCGACGACTCATAGAGCTCGCGCTCGCGCTCCTGTTTGCGCCGGAACGAGTACTCGCGGATGTCCTGTTCGTAGGGGTCGCGGTAGCTACGGTAGTCTCGGTGGGGCGCCTGCTGCTGCTGCTGCTGCTGCTGCTGCTGCACCGGCTGCGGCTGCGACGGAAGCGGCGCCGGCGGGTGGGACATCGGCGGCGGGGGCGGCGGCGGCGGCAGCGGCGGCGGCGGATCGTCGTAGTAGCGGGGGTCGTAGAAATCGTGGTGGTGGTGGTGCTGCTGCTGGTGGTGGTGCTGCTGGTGGTGCTGCTGGTGGTGCTGCTGCTGCTGGTGGTGGTGGTGCTGGTTGTGGTGGTGCTGGTGCTGCTGCTGCTGCTGCTGGTTGTGGTGGTGGTGGTGCTGGTTGTGGTGGTGCTGGTTGTGGTAGGGCTCCCAGTCCGAGTAGTAATCACCGCCGCCGCCGCCGCCGCCGCCGCTGCTGCCGCGCCTGCCGTGGTATTCCCTCCGCGAGTCGTCGTGGAAGCCGGCGCCGCCGCCGGAGCCGCCGCCGCCGGAGCCGCCGCCGGAGCCGCCGCCGGAGCCGCCGTTGCCGCCGTTGCCGGAGCCGCCGGAGCCGCCAGCCGGCGCGCCGCGAAGGGCCTCGTAGTACGAGCGCTCCGCTACGTACTCGTGGTACGAGATGCGACGCTCGTCGCGGCTGGACACGGGCGCCAGCGGAAGGGGTAAGAGGGGTGCGGTGAGCGGCGGGGTGACGACGATGGTAGCGGCGGTGGCTGTGGCGTTTGGAGTGACGGTAGTGGTGGTGGTTGGAGTGATGATGGTGGTGGTGGTGTTTGTGGAGTGATGATGGTGGTGGTGGTGGTAGTGTTTGTGGAGTGATGGTGGTGATGATGGTGCTTGCGGAGTGATGATGGTGGTGGTTGTGGAGTGATGATGGTGGTGGTGGTGGTGGTAGTGTTTGTGGAGTGATGATGATGGTGGTGGTGGTGGTGTTTATGGCGTGATGATGATGGTAGTGGTGCTGGTGTTTGTGGAGTGATGATGATGATGGTAGTGTTGGTGGTGTTTGTGGAGTGATGATGATGATGGTGGTGTTTGTGGAGTGGTGGTGATGATGGTGGTGGTGGTGGTGTTGGTGGTGTTTGTGGAGTGATGATGGTGGTGGTGTTTGTGGAGTGATGATGATGGTAGTGGTGGTGTTTGTGGAGTGATGATGATGGTGGTGGTAGTGGTGGTGTTTGTGGAGTGATGATGATGGTGATGGTGGTGTTTGTGGAGTGATGATGATGTTGGTGGTGTTTGTGGAGTGATGATGATGTTGGTGGTGTTTGTGGAGTGGTGATGGTAGTGTTGGTGGTGTTTGTGGAGTGGTGATGGTAGTGGTGGTGGCGGTGGTGGTGGTGTTTGTGGAGTGATGATGATGATGGTGTTTGTGGAGTGGTGATGATGGTGGTGGTGATGATGGTAGTGTTGGTGGTGTTTGTGGAGTGGTGATGGTAGTGGTGGTGTTTGTGGAGTGGTGATGATGGTGATGATGGTAGTGGTGGTGGTGTTTGTGGAGTGGTGATGATGGTGGTGGTGGTGATGATGGTGGTGGTGTTTGTGGCGTGATGATGATGGTAGTGGTGGTGTTTGTGGAGTGATGATGATGATGGTAGTGTTGGTGGTGTTTGTGGAGTGATGATGGTAGTGGTGGTGGTGTTTGTGGAGTGGTGATGGTGATGATGGTAGTAGTGTTTGTGGTGTTTGTGGAGTGATGATGATGATGATGGTAGTAGTGTTTGTGGTGTTTGTGGAGTGGTGATGATGATGGTAGTAGTGTTTGTGGTGTTTGTGGAGTGGTGGTGATGATGGTGGTGTTTGTGGAGTGGTGGTGATGATGGTGGTGTTTGTGGAGTGATGATGGTGATGATGGTGTTTGTGGTGTTTGTGGAGTGGTGGTGGTGATGATGATGATGGTGTTGGTGGTGTTTGTGGAGTGGTGATGATGATGATGGTGGTGGTGATGATGGTAGTGTTGGTGGTGTTTGTGAAGTGATGGTGATGATGGTGGTGGTGGTGGTGTTTGTGGAGTGATGATGATGATGGTGGTGGTGATGATGGTAGTGTTGGTGGTGTTTGTGAAGTGATGATGATGATGGTGGTGTTTGTGAAGTGATGATGGTGATGATGATGGTAGTGTTGGTGGTGTTTGTGGAGTGATGATGGTGGTGGTGATGGTGGTGATGATGGTAGTGTTGGTGGTGTTTGTGGAGTGATGATGATGGTAGTGTTTGTGGAGTGATGGTGATGATGATGATGGTGGTGGTGTTTGTGGAGTGGTGATGGTAGTGTTGGTGGTGTTTGTGGAGTGATGATGATGGTAGTGTTTGTGGAGTGATGGTGATGATGATGATGGTGGTGGTGGTGATGATGGTAGTGTTGGTGGTGTTTGTGAAGTGATGGTGGTGATGATGGTGGTGGTGGTGGCGGGCCAGGCACCTGCGATCGAAGTAGGCGTCGTGGTCACGGATGCACTCACGCACGTCCTGGCCTGAGCGCTCCATGACATGGTAGAACGCCGCCTGGCTGTCCCGGTTCGCAAAGTCCACCTGCGGCAAACCGGCGGGCATCACCACCACCACCGCCACAACCACCACCACCACCACAACCACCACCGCCACCACCACCACCACCACAACCACCACCGCCACCACCACCACCACCACCACAACCACCACCACCACCACAACCACCACCGCCACCACCACCACCACCACCACAACCACCACCACCACCACCACAACCACCACCACCGCCACCACCGCCAACGCCACCGCCAACGCCAACAACAACAACACGCACCCACCACACCCCACTCCACCCACCTCACCCACCCCACCCACCCCACCCACCTCACCTCACCCACCCACCTCACCACACCCCACCCACCTCACCCACCCACCTCACCCTACCCACCACACCCCACTCACCACATCCACCCCACCCACCTCACCCCACCCACCTCACCCACCCACCTCACCCACCCACCCCACCCACCTCACCCCACCCACCCACTCCACCCACCACACCCCACCTCACCCCACCCACCTCACCCACACACACCCAACACCACCACCTCACCCCACCCACCTCACCCACCCACCTCACCCACCCACCCCACCTCACCTCACCCACCCACCTCACCTACCCACCCCACCCACCCACCCACCCACCTCACCCCACCACCTCACCCCACTCCACCCCACCCACCCCACCCACCCCACCCACCTCACCCACCTCACCCCACCCACCTCACCCCACCCACCCACTCCACCCACCACACCCCACCTCACCCCACCCACCTCACCCCACCCACCCCACCTCACCCCACCCACCTCACCCCACCCACCCCACCCCACCCACCCCACCCCACCCACCCCACCCCACCCACCCACCTCACCCCACCCACCCACCTCACCACACTCCACCCACCTCACCCCAACCACCCACCCCACCCACCCCACCCACCTCACGCCACCCCACCCACCCACTCCACCCACCTCACCCACCCCACCCAGCCCACCTACAGCACCCATTAGCCCCCCCCCACTCCTCCCCTAGCCCCGCCCCCACCCCCCCCCAGTCCCCACCTTAATCTTATTTCCAATGAGCTTCCTGCCCTTCACCTCCAACACGGCAGTCTGTGCACACTCAATCTCCGTGTAGAACACCAGTGCCATGCCCTTCTGGCGGTCCAGCAGCACCTGGGGAGGGAGGGAGGAGAGGGAGGAAGGGAGGAGAGGAGAGGGAGGAGAGGGAGGGAGGAGAGGGAGGGAGGAGAGGGGAGGGAGGAGAGGGAGGAGAGGGAGGGAGGGAGGAGAGGGAGGAGAGGGAGGAGAGGGAGAGAGGGAGGAGAGGGAGGAGGAGAGGGAGGAGAGGGAGGGAGGAGAGGGAGGAGAGGGAGGAGAGGGAGGGAGGAGAGGGAGGGAGGAGAGGGAGGAGAGGAGAGGGAGGGAGGGAGGAGAGGGAGGAGAGGGAGGAGAGGAAGGAGAGGGAGGAGAGGGAGGAGAGGGAGGGAGGGGAGGGAGGAGAGGGAGGGAGGGAGGGAGGGAGGGAGGGAGGAGAGGGAGGGGAGGGAGGGAGGGGAGGGAGGAGAGGGAGGGAGGGAGGGAGGAGAGGGAGGGAGGAGAGGGAGGAGAGGGAGGGAGGAGAGGGGAGGGAGGAGAGGGGGGAGGGAGGGAGGGAGGGAGGAGAGGGGGGAGGGAGGGAGGAGAGGGAGGGAGGGAGGAGAGGGAGGAGAGGGAGGAGAGGGAGGGAGGAGAGGGAGGGAGGGAGGGGAGGGGAGGGAGGGAGGAGAGGGAGGGAGGAGAGGGAGGGAGGGAGGGAGGAGAGGGAGGGGAGGGAGGAGAGGGAGGAGAGGGAGGAGAGGGAGGAGAGGGAGGAGAGGGAGGGAGGGAGGGAGGGAGGGAGGGGAGGGAGGAGAGGGAGGAGAGGGAGGGAGGGGGGAGGGGAGGGAGGGAGGAGAGGGAGGGAGGGAGGGAGGGAGGGAGGGAGGAGAGGGAGGGAGGAGAGGGAGGGAGGGAGGGAGGAGAGGGAGGGAGGAGAGGGGAGGGAGGAGAGGGAGGGAGGGAGGGAGGAGAGGGAGGAGGGAGGGGAGGGAGGGAGGAGAGGGAGGAGAGGGAGGGAGGGAGGAGAGGGAGAGAGGGAGGGAGGGAGGGGAGGGAGGGAGGAGAGGGAGGAGAGGGAGGGGAGGGAGGGAGGGAGGGAGGAGAGGGAGGGAGGGAGGAGAGGGAGGAGAGGGAGGAGAGGGAGGGAGGGAGGGAGGAGAGGGAGGGAGGGAGGGAGGAGAGGGAGGGAGGGAGGGGAGGGAGGGAGGAGAGGGAGGAGAGGGAGGGGAGGGGGGAGGGAGGGAGGAGAGGGAGAGAGGGAGGGAGGAGAGGGAGGATGAGGGAGGGAGGGAGGGAGGAGAGGGAGGGAGGGAGGGAGAGAGGGAGAGAGGAGAGGGAGGGGAGGGAGGGAGGGAGGGAGGGAGGGAGGAGAGAGAGGGAGGAGAGGGAGGGAGGGAGGGAGGGGAGGGAGGGGAGGGAGGAGAGGGAGGGGAGGGAGGTGATAATTCTGTTGCTGCTGCTCCTACGACTGGTACACCTACTGCTGATACTACTCCTACTGCTGATACTACTAATGCCGATACTACTAATGCTGGTACTACTAATGCTGATACTACTCCTACTGCTGATACTACTAATGCCGATACTACTAATGCTGGTACTACTAATGCTGGCACTAGTAATGCTGATATTACTAATGCTGCTGATACTACTAGTGTTGCTGATACTACTCCTACTGCTGATACTACTAATGCTGATACTACTAATGCTGGTACTACTAATGCTGGCACTAGTAATGCTGATATTACTAATGCTGATACTACTCCCACTGCTGATACTACTAATGCTGATACTACTCCCACTCCTACTACTGCTGCTACTGTTGGTACAGCTGCTCCCATTACCACCACTACAACTACCACCACCACCACCACTACTCCCTCCATCACCACCACAACTACTCCCACCACTACAACTACTCCCACCACCACTACAACTACCACCACCACCACCACTACTCCCACCACCACCACTACTACTACAACTACTCCCACCACCACCACTACTCCCACCACCACCACCACTACAACTACTCCCACCACCACCACTACTCCCATCACCACCACCACGACTCCCTCCACCACCACCACTACTCCCACCACCACGACTCCCTCCACCACTACTCCCACCACCACAACTACTCCCACCACCACCACTCCCTCCACCACCACTACTACCACCACCACAACTACCACCACCACCACCACTACTCCCTCCACCACCACCACTACTCCCACCACCACCACTACAACTACTCCCACCACCACCACCACCACGACTCCCACCACTACAACTGCTCCCACCACCACCACAACAACTCCCTCCACCACCACTACTCCCACCACCACTACTCCCACCAACACCACCACCACTACTCCCACCAACACCACAACTACTCCCACCACCACCACCACTACAACTACTCCCACCACCACCACTACTCCCACCACCACCACCACTACTCCCTCCACCACCACCACCACTACTCCCTCCACCACCACCACTACTCCCTCCACCACCACCACCACTACTACCACCACCACCACCACAACTACCACCACCACCACCACTACTCCCACCACCACCACCACCACTACTCCCTCCACCACCACCACTACTCCCTCCACCACCACCACCACTACTACCACCACCACTACAACTACTCCCACCACCACCACCACCACGACTCCCACCACTACAACTGCTCCCACCACCACCACAACTACTCCCTCCACCACCACTACTCCCACCAACACTACTCCCACCACCACCACAACTACTCACACCACCACTACTCCCACCACCACTACTCCCACCACCACCACAACTACTCCCACCACCACAACCACAACTACTCCCACCACCACCACTACTCCCACCACCACTACAACTACCACCACCACTACAACTACCACCACCACTACCACTACTCCCTCCACCACCACCACCACAACTACTCCCTCCACCACCACCACCACTCCCTCCACCACCACTACTCCCTCCACCACCACCACCACTACTACTACTCCCTCCACCACCACTACTCCCACCAACACTACTCCCACCACCACCACAACTACTCACACCACCACTACTCCCACCACCACTACTCCCACCACCACCACCACCACTACTCCCTCCACCACCACCACCACTCCCTCAACCACCACTACTCCCTCCACCACCACCACCACCACTACAACTACTCCCTCCACCACCACCACAACTACTCCCACCACCACCACCACCTCCACCATCACCACCACCACCACCACCACTACTCCCACCACCACCACTACTCCCACCACCACTACAACTACCACCACCACTACAACTACCACCACCACCACCACTACTCCCTCCACCACCACCACCACTACTACTACTCCCTCCACCACCACTACTCCCACCACAACTACTCCCACCACCACAACCACAACTACTCCCACCACCACCACTACTCCCACCACCACCACCACCACTACTCCCACCACCACCACTACTCCCACCACCACCACTACTCCCACCACCACAACTACTCCCACCACCACAACTACTCCCACCACCACCACCACTACTCCCTCCACCACCACTACTCCCACCACCACCACCTTCCTCTCTCCACCACAACTACTCCCTCCACCACTACAACTACTCCCTCCACCACCACCACTACTCCCTCCACCACCACCACCACCACTCCCTCCACCACCACTACTCCCTCCACCACCACCACAACTACTCCCACCACCACCAACCACCCCCCACACCACCACCACCACCACCCACCCCCCACACACCACCACCACCACCACCACCGCCGCAGTCAGTACCTTGAGGATTGGGCCGAACCGCGAGAACTGGCGAGTGAGGTACTGCTCTGTGACGCTGGCGTTGAGCCCGTCCAACCACACGCAAGTCGTTGGCATGCTCTTGCCGAATCCCAGCTGAGACCACACGCAGACAAAGGCACCAGCACCCACCCACACCGCGTAGCGTTCACACGAAGTTGGGGGGTGGGGATGCTGGCGGTGAGGCGGCGCCGGCTGAACGAGGCATCGCCGCACGCGCGCGCGAACGCTCGCCCAACTCACACACGCACGACACACACTCACATACACATATACACTCACACTCACTCACTCACATTCACTCACATTCACTCACACTCACTCACACTCACACACTCACTCTCACACACTCACTCACTCACACACACTCACACACTCTCTCACACACTCTCTCACACTCTCTCTCACTCACTCTCTCACACACTCACATTCACACTCACCAACTCACACGCACAACACACACTCACACACACACTCACATTCACTCACATTCACTCACTCACACTCTCTCACACACTCACACACACACACGCACTCTCACTCACTCACGCACACACACACTCTCACTCACGCACACATTCACTCACTCACTCACACACACGCACTCTCACTCACACACTCTCACTCTCTCACTCTCTCACACACTCTCTCACACTCACACTCACTCTCTCACACACTCACACATACACTCACACTCACTCACACATACACTCACACTCACTCTCTCACACACTCTCTCACTCTCACACACACACACACACTCTCATTCACACACTCACACTCACACACTCTCTCACACATACACTCACTCTCTCACTCACACACTCTCTCACTCTCTCACACACTCTCACACTCTATCACTCTCTCACACTCTCTCACACTCTCACACTCTCTCACGCTCTCACACTCACTCACTCTCACACTCTCTCACTCTCTCACACTCACTCACTCTCTCTCACACTCTCTCTCACACTCTCTCACACTCTCTCTCACACTCTCTCACACACTCTCTCACTCTCTCACACACTCACACTCTCACACTCTCTCACTCTCTCACACACTCACACTCTCACACTCTCACACACTCACTCACTCACACACTCACACATATACACTCACACTCCCTCACACACTCTCACACTCACACATACACTCACACTCCATCACACACTCACACACTCACTCACACTCACTCACTCTCTCACTCACACACTCTCTCACTCTCTCACACACTCTCTCACTCTCTCACACTCTCTCACACTCTCACACTCTCTCACACACTCACACACTCTCTCACACACTCACACACTCACACACTCTCTCACACACTCTCTCACACTCACTCACACGCTCATATTCACACTCGCACGCTCTCACATTCACTCGCACACACTCACATTCACTCACACACACACTCGCATACATTCACTCACACTCACACACATTCACTCGCACACACTCACATTCATTCACACTCACACACTCTCACTCGCACACATTCACACTCACATTCACTCAGACACTCTCACTCACATACACTCAAATTCACTCACACACACATTCACTCACTCACACACACACACTCACTCGCACACATTCACACACACACTCACATTCACTCAGACACACACTCGCACACATTCACTCGCACACACTCACATTCACTCGCACACATTCACTCACTCACACACGCACACTCAGACACTCTCATTCACACACACTCACTCGCACACATTCACACTCACTCACGCACACACACACTCACTCGCACACATTCACACTCACACACATTCACTCACACACTCACTCGCACACATTCACACTCACACACATTCACTCACACACATTCACACACTCACATTCAGACACTCACTCACACACACTCACTCACGCACACATTCACTCACTCACACACTCACAGTCATACTCACACACACTCACATTCACATTCACTCACGCACGCACACTCAGACACTCTCACTCACACACACTCACTCACACACGCACTCACACACGCATTCACTCACTCACGCACGCACACACGCACTCTCACACACTCTCACTCACGCATACACTCAATCACTCACTCACACTCACACTCACTCACACTCACACACACTCACATTCACTCACACACACTCACATTCACTCACTCACACACACTCACTCGCACACATTCACACTCAAGAGACTCACACACACACACTCTCACTCACACTCACGCACACATTAACTCACTCACTCACACACTCACACACGCACACTCACATTCACTCGCTCATGCACGCACACTCAGACACTCTCACTCACACACACGCACTCACACACTCTCAACCACGCTCATGCACGCATTCACTCACTCACGCACGTACACACATTCACTCCCTCACACATGCACACTCACACACTCTCACACACACTCACACACTCACGCACACACTCTCACACACATTCACTCACTCACTCACACAAACACACACTCACTCACATTCACCCAGACACTCACACACACACTCTCACTCACGCACACACTCACTCACACACTCTCACTCACACTCACGCACACATTCACTCACTCACGCACGCACACACTCACACTCTCACACACTCTCAATCACACACACTCACACTCACTCACATTCACTCACACACACACACACATTCACTCACTCACACACACAGACACACACTAACTCGCACACATTCACACTCACACACTCACTCACATTCACTCACACACATTCACTCACTCACACACACTCACACACACGCACACTCTCACACACACACGCACACACTCACACACACTCTCACACACTCTCCCTCACACACACACACTCTCACACACACTCACGCACTCACGCACACACACACACGCACTCTCACACACTCTCACTCACACACACTCACTCACTCACACACACTCTCACTCACGCACACATTCACTCACTCACATTCACTCAGACACTCACACACACACACACTCTCACTCACACACACTCACTCACACACTCAGACGCACACACACACACTCACACACTCAGACGCACACACACACACTCGCACACATTCACACACACACTTACTCACATTCACTCAGACACTCACACACACACTCTCACTCACGCACACATTCACTCAGACACTCACACACACTCTCACTCACACTCACTCAGACACTCACACACACTCTCACTCACACTCACGCACACATTCACTCACTCACTCACACACTCACTCACTCACACACTCACACACGCACACTCACATTCATACTCACACACACTCACATTCACCCAGACACTCACTCACGCACACACTCACTCACACACTCACTCACACTCACTCACACTCACGCACACATTCACTCACTCACACACACTCTCACTTACGCACACTCACACACTCTCACTCACACTCACGCACACACTCTCACACACACTCACGCACACACACACACACTCACTCTCACACACACTCTCACTCACGCACACACTCTCACACACTCTCACTCTCACACACAGACTCACGCACACACACACACACACTCACTCTCACACACACTCTCACTCACACACACACTCACACACTCACGCACTCACACACTCACACACTCACACACTCTCACACACACTCACACGCACACACTCATTCACTCACTCACACTCACTCACACACACTCTCACACACTCACACACTCTCACACTCACTCACTCTCACACACTCACACACACACACTCACACACACTCTCACTCACTCACTCACACACACTCACTCACTCACACACTCACACACTCACGCACACACTCTCACACACTCTCACGCACACACGCACACACTCACTCACACACTCACACACACTCTCACTCACACACACACTCTCACACACGCACTCACTCACACACACACTCTCACTCACACACTCACACACACACGCGCGCACACACTCACACTCACTCACATTCACCCAGACACTCACACACACTCACACACTCACACACACACTCACACACTCACACACTCTCACTCACACACACACTCACTCACACAGACGCACACTCTCACACACACACTCTCACACACACACTCTCACTCTCACACACACTCACACACACTCTCACACACTCACACTCACTCACTCACACACTCACTCTCACACACACACTCACACACTCTCACACTCACACACTCACACACACACACTCACTCACATTCACCCAGACACTCACACACACTCACTCACATTCACACACACACACACTCACTCACATTCACACACACACACACTCACTCACACACTCTCACTCACACACACTCTCACTCACACACATACTCACAGACACTCTCACGCACACACTCTCACTCACACACTCTCACTCACTCACACACTCACACACACACTCACTCACACACTCACACACAGTCTCACACACTCTCACACACTCTCACTCACACACTCACCCACTCACGCACACACACACTCTCACACACTCACACACACTCACACTCTCACTCACTCACTCACACACACTCACTCACACATTCACACTCACACACTCTCTCACACTCACACACTCACACACACTCTCACTCACACACACACACGCACTCACTCACTCACACTCACTCACACTCACTCTCACACACACACTCACACACACTCTCACACACACTCTCACACCCTCACACACTCACACCCTCACACACACACTCACACACACACACGCACACTCTCACACTCACACATTCACACTCACTCTCTCACACACTCTCACTCACACTCTCACTCACACTCTCACACACACACTCACTCACACTCTCACACACACACTCACTCACACACACTCTCACTCACACACACTCACACTCACTCACACTCACTCTCACACACACTCACACACACACTCACTCACACACTCACACTCACACACTCACTCACACACACTCACACACTCACTCTCTCACTCACCTACACACACACTCACACACTCACACTCTCACACTCTCACTCACACACACTCACACACACGCACACATTCACTCACTCACACACACACTCTCACACACGCACTCACTCACACACACTCACTCACACACTCACACACTCACACACACTCACTCACACACACTCACTCACACACACGCACACATTCACTCACTCACACACACACTCTCACACACGCACTCACTCACACACACGCACACACTCACACTCACTCACACTCACACACTCACACACACACGCACACTCACTCACATTCACCCAGACACTCACACACACACACACACTCACTCACACGCACTCACTCACACACTCACACTCACACACACTCACTCACACACTCACGCACACACTCACGCACTCACTCACACACTCACTCACTCACACACTCTCACTCTCACACACACTCACACTCACTCACACACTCACACTCTCACACACACTCACACTCTCACACACTCACACACTCTCACACACACTCACACTCACACACTCACACACACGCTCACACACTCACACACTCACACTCTCACTCACACACTCACACACACGCACACACTCACTAACTCACCCACTCACTCACTCACACTCTCACTCACACACTCACACACACGCACACACTCACTAACTCACCCACTCACTCACACACACACTCACTCACTCACACACTCACACGCACTCTCACACACTCACTCACACACACACTCACATTCACACACACTCACACTCTCACACACACTCTCACACACACACACTCACACACTCACTCTCACACACTCACTCACACACTCACTCACTCACACACACACTCACACACTCTCACACACTCACACACATTCACACACACTCACACTCTCACACACACACTCACACAGGCCGCACCACAGAAAGGCTGCACCGCGGGCAGGCTGCACCGCGGGCAGGCGAGACCTCCCCACGGACTCCCACCCCGCGGCGCACCTTGAGTCGATTGTTGCTCAAGTACTCCCCGTCCATCTTCTTGATGGCCTTGCACACACTGGTGATGTCACAGAACTGCAGGAAGGCGTACTGGGGGATCCCGTTCACCTTCTTGATGTCTATGTCCTACAACGCGGAGACACGCGGGGGTGGGTTAGGCACACGCGCGGTTAGATCGAGACACGGGGGGCTGGAGGCACGGGGCTGGAGGCACGGGGCTGGAGACACGGGGCTAGAGACACAGAGACACGGGGATAGAGACACGGAGACACGGGGCTAGAGACACGGGGTTAGAGACACGGAGACACGGGGCTAGAGACACGGGGCTGGAGACACGGGGCTAGAGACACGGAGTTAGAGACACGGGGCTAGAGACACGGGGCTAGAGACACGGGGCTGGAGACACGGGGCTACAGACACGGGGCTAGAGACACGGGGCTAGAGACACGGGGCTAGAGACACGGAGCTGGAGACACGGAGCTAGAGACACGGAGTTAGAGACACGGAGACATGGGGCTGGAGACACGGGGCTGGAGGCACGGGGCTGGAGGCACGGGGCTAGAGACACGGGGTTAGAGACACGGAGACACGGGGCTAGAGACACGGGGCTAGAGACACGGAGTTAAAGACACGGGGTTAGAGACACGGAGACACGGGGCTAGAGACACGGGGCTAGAGACACGGGGTTAGAGACACGGGGCTAGAGACACGGGGTTAGAGACACGGGGCTAGAGACACGGAGACACAGGGTTAGTAACACATGGCTAGAGACACGGGGCTAGAGACACGAGGATAGAGAAACAGAGACACGGGGCTAGAGACACGGGGCTAGAGACACGGGGCTAGAGACATGGGGCTAGAGACATGGGGCTAGAGACACGGGGCTAGAGACACGGGGCAAGAGACACGGGGCAAGAGACACGGGGCTAGAGACACGGAGACACGGGGCTAGAGACACGGGGCTAGAGACACGGGGTTAGAGACACGGAGTTAAAGACACGGGGTTAGAGACACGGGGCTAGAGACACGGGGTTAGAGACACGGGGCTGGAGACACGGGGCTGGAGACACGGGGCTAGAGACACAGAGTTAGAGACACGGGGCTAGAGACACGGGGCTAGAGACACGGAGACACGGGGTTAGAGACACGGGGCTAGAGACACGGGGTTAGAGACACGGGGCTAGAGACACGAGGATAGAGACACGGAGACACGGGGTTAGAGACACGGGGTTAGAGACACAGGGTTAGAGACACGGGGCTAGAGACACGGGCTAGAGACACGGGGCTAGAGACACGGGGTTAGAGACACGGGGTTAGAGACACGGGGCTAGAGACACGGGGCTAGAGACACGGGGTTAGAGACACGGGGTTAGAGACACGGGGCTAGAGACACGGGGCTAGAGACACAGAGACACGGGGCTGGAGACACGGGGCTAGAGACACGGGGCTAGAGACACGGGGTTAGAGACACGGGGCTAGAGACACGGGGTTAGAGACACGGGGCTAGAGACACGGGGCTAGAGACACGGGGTTAGAGACACGGGGTTAGAGACACGGGGCTAGAGACACGGGGCTAGAGACACGGAGACACGGGGCTGGAGACACGGGGCTAGAGACACGGGGCTAGAGACACGGGGTTAGAGACACGGGGCTAGAGACACGGGACTAGAGACACGGGGTTAGAGACACGGGGTTAGAGACACGGGGCTAGAGACACGGGGCTGGAGACACGGGGTTAGAGACACGGGGTTAGAGACACGGGGCTAGAGACACGGGGCTGGAGACACGGGGCTAGAGACACGGGGCTAGAGACACGGGGCTAGAGACACGGGGCTAGAGACACGGGGCTAGAGACACAGAGACACGGGGCTAGAGACACGGGGATAGAGACACGGGGATAGAGACACGTGGGATAGAGACACGGGGATAGAGACACGTGGGATAGAGACACGGGGATAGAGACACGTGGGATAGAGACACGGGGATAGAGACACGGGGATAGAGACACGGGGCTAGAGACACAGGGCTAGAGACACGAGGTTAGAGACACGCAGACAGGGAGCTAGAGACCCTTGGTTAGAGACACGGAGACACGGGGCTAGAGACACGGGGTTAGAGACACGGAGACACGGGGCTAGAGATATGGGGCTAGAGACACGGGGCTAGAGACACGGGGCTAGAGACACAGAGACACAGGGCTAGAGACACGGGGCTAGAGACACGGGGCTAGAGACACGGGGTTAGAGACACGGGGCTAGAGACACGGGGCTGGAGACACGGGGTTAGAGACACGGGGCTAGAGACACGGGGCTGGAGACACGGGGCTAGAGACACGGGGCTGGAGACACGGGGCTAGAGACACGGGGTTAGAGACATGGGGCTAGAGACACAGAGACACGGGGCTAGAGACACGGGGCTAGAGACACGGGGCTGGAGACACGGGGCTGGAGACACGGGGCTGGAGACACGGAGACACGGGGCTAGAGACACGGGGCTAGAGACACGGGGCTAGAGACACAGAGACACAGGGCTAGAGACACGGGGCTGGAGACACGGAGCTAGAGACACACGGTTGTTTTTGTGGTGATAGTGGTGGTAGTGATGGTAGTGATGGTGGTGGCTCCCTCACCACTATCTCCCCGAATCTCTGGAAGATGGAGTAGAGGTCATCGCAGGTGATGATGATGGTTGTTGTGGTGATGATGGCTGTGGTGGTGATGGTGGTTGTGATGATGGTGGTAGTGGTGGTGATGATGGCTGTGGTGGTGATGGTGGTGGTGGCTGCTCCCTCCCCACTATCTCCCCGAATCTCTGGAAGATGGAGTAGAGGTCATCGTAGGTGGTGATGATGGCGGTTGTTGTGGTGATGATGGCTGTGGTGGTGATGGTGATGATGGTAGTGATGGTAGTGGTGGTGGCTCCCTCACCACTATCTCCCCGAATCTCTGGAAGATGGAGTAGAGGTCATCGTAGGTGGTGATGATGATGGCTGTGGTGGTGATGATGGCTGTGGTGGTGGTGATGGCTGTGGTAGTGATGATGGTAGTGATGGTAGTGATGGTGGCTCCCTCACCACTATCTCCCCGAATCTCTGGAAGATGGAGTAGAGGTCATCGTAGGTGGTGATGATGACGGTTGTTGTTGTGGTGATGATGGCTGTGGTGGTGATGGTGGTTGTGGTGATGGTGGTAGTGATGATGGTAGTGATGGTAGTGATGGTGGTGGTGGCTCCCTCACCACTATCTCCCCGAATCTCTGGAAGATGGAGTAGAGGTCATCGTAGGTGGTGATGATGATGACGGTTGTTGTTGTGGTGATAGTGGTGGTGATGGTAGTGATGATGGCTGTGGTAGTGATGATGGCTGTGGTAGTGATGATGGTAGTGATGGTGGTGATGGCTCCCTCACCACTATCTCCCCGAATCTCTGGAAGATGGAGTAGACGTCATCGCAGGTGGTGATGATGACGGTTGTTGTTGTGGTGATGATGGCTGTGGTAGTGATGGTGGTTGTGGTGATGGTGGTAGTGGTGGTGATGATGGCTGTGGTAGTGATGGTGGTGGTGGCTCCCTCCCCACTATCTCCCCGAATCTCTGGAAGATGGAGTAGTGGTCATCGTAGGTGGTGATGATGATGGTTGTTGTTGTGGTGGTGGTGATGGCTGTGGTGGTGATGATGGCTGTGGTGGTGGTGGTGGCTCCCTCACCACTATCTCCCCGAATCTCTGGAAGATGGAGTAGAGGTCATCGTAGGTGGTGATGATGATGGCTGTGGTGGTGATGATGGCTGTGGTGGTGGTGATGGCTGTGGTAGTGATGATGGTAGTGATGGTAGTGATGGTGGCTCCCTCACCACTATCTCCCCGAATCTCTGGAAGATGGAGTAGAGGTCATCGTAGGTGGTGATGATGATGATTGTTGTTGTTGTGGTGATGATGGCTGTGGTGGTGATGGTAGTGATGGTGGCTCCCTCACCACTATCTCCCCGAATCTCTGGAAGATGGAGTAGAGGTCATTGTAGGTGGTGATGATGGCTGTGGTAGTGATGATGGTAGTGATGGTGGTGGTGATGATGGCTGTGGTAGTGATGATGGCTGTGGTAGTGATGGTGGTGGTGATGGTGGTAGTGGTGGTGATGATGGCTGTGGTAGTGATGGTGGTGGTGGTGGCTGCTCCCTCACCACTATCTCCCCGAATCTCTGGAAGATGGAGTAGAGGTCATCGTAGGTGGTGATGATGGTGGTTGTTGTGATGGTAAGAGTGGTGGTGATGATGGCTGTGGTGATGATGGCTCCCTCACCACTATCTCCCCGAATCTCTGGAAGATGGAGTAGAGGTCATCGTAGGTGGTGATGATGGTGGTTGTTGTGGTGATGATGGCTGTGGTGGTGGTGATGGCTGTGGTAGTGATGATGGTAGTGATGATGGTAGTGATGATGGCTCCCTCACCACTATCTCCCCGAATCTCTGGAAGATGGAGTAGAGGTCATCGTAGGTGATGATGATGACGGTTGTTGTGATGGTAAGAGTGGTGATGATGGTAGTGATGGTAGTGATGGTGGCTCCCTCACCACTATCTCCCCGAATTTCTGGAAGATGGAGTAGAGGTCATCGTAGGTGATGATGATGGCTGTGGTGGTGATGATGGCTGTGGTAGTGATGGTAGTGATGGTGGTGGTGGCTCCCTCACCACTATCTCCCCGAATCTCTGGAAGATGGAGTAGAGGTCATCGTAGGTGGTGATGATGGTTGTGGTAGTGATGGTGGTGGTGATGGTGGTAGTGGTAGTGATGATGGCTGTGGTAGTGGTGATGGTGTTGGTGGCTCCCTCACCACTATCTCCCCGAATCTCTGGAAGATGGAGTAGAGGTCATCGTAGGTGGTGATGATGATGATGGTTGTTGTGGTGATTATGGCTGTGGTGGTGGTGATGGCTGTGGTAGTGATGATGGTAGTGATGGTAGTGATGGTGGCTCCCTCACCACTATCTCCCCGAATCTCTGGAAGATGGAGTAGAGGTCATCGTAGGTGATGATGATGACGGTTGTTGTTGTGGTGATGATGGCTGTGGTGGTGATGGTGGTTGTGGTGATGGTGGTAGTGATGATGGTAGTGATGGTAGTGATGGTGGCTCCCTCACCACTATCTCCCCGAATCTCTGGAAGATGGAGTAGAGGTCATCGTAGGTGGTGATGATGGTGGTTGTTGTGATGGTAAGAGTGGTGGTGATGATGGCTGTGGTGATGATGGCTCCCTCACCACTATCTCCCCGAATCTCTGGAAGATGGAGTAGAGGTCATCGTAGGTGGTGATGATGATGGTTGTTGTTGTGGTGATGATGGCTGTGGTGGTGATGGTGGTTGTGGTGATAGTGGTGGTGATGATGGCTGTGGTGGTGATGGTGGTGATGGTGATAGTGGTGGTGATGATGGCTGTGGTAGTGATGGTGATGATGGCTCCCTCACCACTATCTCCCCGAATCTCTGGAAGATGGAGTAGAGGTCATCGTAGGTGGTGCTCTTCTCCAGGTTGCCTATGAAGAGCGTCCGCGTCGCCTTGGGGTGGAACTCGTCGATACGGTCGTCCAGCGGACGCAGCTCATTCTCGCTCTCCGTCTCTGCACGACGGCGTCGCGGGGGGGGGACGGGGGACGAGGAGGGGAACGTGGCGATGGCCGTGACCGCGGGTACGGCCGTTGCCGTGGGCACGGCCGTGAACGTTACCGTGGGTACGGCCGTTACCGTGTTACCGTGGGTACGGCCGAGAACGTGGGTACGGCCGTTTGCCGTGGGTACGGCCGTTGCCGTGGGTACGGCCGTTACCGTGTTGCCGTGGGTACGGCCGAGAACGTGGGTACGGCCGTTGCCGTGGGCATGGCCGAGAACGTGGGTGCGGCCGTTGCCGTGGGTACGGCCGTTGCCGTGGGTACGGCCGTTACCGTGGCAGTGACATTGTACCCGGACCGTGTGATGAGCGAGTGAGTGACCAAGCGAGGGAGTGACCGAGCAAGTGAGTGACCGAGCGAGTGAGTGACCGAGCGAGTGAGTGAGTGACCGAGTGAGTGATCGAGTGAGTGAGTGAGTGACCGAGTGAGTGAGTGAGTGACCGAGTGAGTGAGTGAGTGACCGAGTGAGTGACCGAGTTAGTGAGTGACCGAGCGAGTGAGTGAGTGAGTGACCGAGTGAGTGAGTGAGTGACCGAGTGAGTGACCGAGTTAGTGAGTGACCGAGCGAGTGAGTGAGTGAGTGACCGAGTGAGTGAGCGACTGAGTGAGTGATCGAGTGAGTGAGTGACCGAGTGGGTGAGTGTATGAGTGAGTGAGTGACCGAGTGAGTGAGTGACCGAGTGAGTAAGTGAGTGACCAAGCGAGTGGGTGACCAAGTGAGTGAGTCACCAAGTGAGTGACCGAGTGACCGAGCGAGCGACTGAGTGAGCGAGTGAGTGACCGAGTGACCGAGCGAGCGAATGAGCGAGCGACCGAGTGAGTGAGCGAGCGAGTGAGTGAGTGAGTTCCCGAGTGAGCGAGCGAGCGACCGAGTGACCGAGTGAGTGACCGAGTGAGTTCCCGAGTGAGCGAGCGAGCGAGCGACTGACTGAGCGAGCGAGTGAGTGACCGAGCGAGTTCCCGAGCGAGCGAGCGAGCGACCGAGTGAGTGAGTGACCGAGTGAGTAAGTGAGTGACCAAGCGAGTGGGTGACCAAGTGAGTGAGTCACCAAGTGAGTGACCGAGCGAGCGAGTGACCGAGCGAGTTCCCGAGTGAGTTCCCGAGCGAGCGAGCGACTGACTGAGCGAGCGAGCGAGTGAGCGAGCGAGTTCCCGAGCGAGTGACCGAGTGAGTTCCCGAGCGAGTGAGCGAGCGAGTTCCCGAGTGAGTTCCCGAGCGAGCGAGCGAGCGACTGAGCGAGCGAGCGAGAGACAGCGTACCGGGCCCGTCCCAGGCTGTGACGTCGATCTGCATGCCGAAGAAGAGCTTCCCCTTGGAGGCACAGAGAGCCTTCTCACGGTCTTCGGGTTGCCGGAAGAAGACCAGGCCGGAGCGCTCCTCGCCGGCGCCGTGGATCTGCACCGAGGTCACTTTGCCGTGTTTCTTGAACTCGTGGAAGAGGCCGTCCTTGAGACTCGAGTCTAAAGGGGGGGGGAGAGGTGAGCAGAGGGGCGAGCGAGGGAGGGTGAGCGAGGGAGGGTGAGCGAGGGTGAGCGAGGGAGGGTGAGCGAGGGAGGGAGGGAGGGTGAGGGAGGGTGAGTGAGGGTGAGTGAGCTGACGAGGGTGAGCGAGGTGAGCGAGGGTGATTGAGGGTGAGCGAGGGAGAACGAGGGAGGGTGAGCGAGGGTGAGTGAGGGTGAGTGAGGGTGAGCGAGGGAGGGTGAGCGAGGGTGAGCGAGGGTGAGTGAGGGTGAGCGAGGGCGAGCGAGGGTGAGTGAGGGTGAGTGAGGGTGAGCGAGGGTGAGTGAGGGTGAGTGAGGGTGAGCGAGGGCGAGCGAGGGTGAGCGAGGGTGAGCGAGGGAGGGTGAGCGAGGGAGGGTGAGCGAGGGTGAGCGAGGGAGGGTGAGCGAGCTGACGAGGGTGAGCGAGGGTGAGCGAGGGTGAGTGAGGGTGAGCGAGGGTGAGCGAGGGAGGGTGAGCGAGGGTGAGCGAGCTGACGAGGGTGAGCGAGGGTGAGTAAGGGTGAGCGAGGGTGAGCGAGGGAGGGTGAGCGAGGGTGAGCGAGCTGACGAGGGTGAGCGAGGGTGAGTAAGGGTGAGCGAGGGTGAGCGAGGGAGGGTGAGCGAGGGTGAGCGAGCTGACGAGGGTGAGCGAGGTGAGCGAGGGTGAGCGAGGTGAGTGAGGGTGAGTGAGGGTGAGCGAGGGAGGGTGAGCGAGGGAGGGTGAGCGAGCGAGGGTGAGGGTGAGCGAGGGTGAGTGAGGGTGAGCGAGGGAGCGTGAGTGAGGGTGAGCGAGGGAGGGTGAGTGAGGGTGAGCGAGGGTGAGCGAGGGTGAGCGAGCGAGGGTGAGGTGAGTGAGCGAGGGTGAGCGAGGGTGAGCGAGGGTAAGTCAGGGTGAGTGACGGTGAGCGAGGGTGAGTGAGGGTGAGTGAGGGTGAGCGAGGGAGGGTGAGCGAGGGTGAGCGAGGGTGAGCGAGCTGACGAGGGTGAGCGAGGTGAGTGAGGGTGAGCGAGCTGACGAGGGTGAGTGAGTGAGGGTGAGCGAGGGTGAGCGAGGGTGAGCGAGGGTGAGCGAGCGAGGGTGAGCGAGCGAGGGTGAGCGAGCGAGGGTGAGCGAGGGTGAGCGAGGGTGAGCGAGGGTGAGCGAGCGAGGGTGAGCGAGCGAGGGTGAGCTAGGTGAGCGAGCGAGGGTGAGCGAGGGAGGGTGAGTAAGGCTGAGCGAGGGTGAGCGAGGCTGAGTGAGGTGAGTGAGGTGAGTGAGGTGAGTGAGCAAGGCTGAGCGAGAAAGGGTGAGCGAGGTGAGCGGGGCGAGCGAGGGTGAGCGAGCGAGGCTGAGCGAGCGAGGGCCGAGCTGACGAGGCCTCACCGGTGGAGCGGACCGGCAGATTGTGGACGCGGATGCCGAAGCTCTTCCGGGGTTCGTCCGCCGCCTCGCCGGCGCCCAGCCCCAGCGGAGCCGCCGGCAGCGGCGGCGGCGGCGGCGGCAGCGCCGGCAGCGCCGGCAGCGCCGGCGCCGGAAGAGGCGCGGCCACGGCGGCCGACGGCACGGAGCGGGCGGGCGACACGTCGCTGGACGAGCTGCTGCTGTCGCTGAGGGGAGAGGAGGGGAGGGAGGATCGTTAGTTGGCAGAGGCTCACTCGCTACACTGGTGTGGTGCAGCCAGGCGGGCTTGTAGACTCCCGACACTCTCCACACGCCGAGTCTCTAGACGCTGAGACTCTAGACGCTGAGTCTCTAGACGCTGAGTCTCTAGACGCTGAGTCTCTAGACGCTGAGACTCTAGACGCTGAGTCTCTAGACGCTGAGTCTCTAGACGCTGAGTCTCCAGACGCCGAGTCTCTAGACGCTGAGTCTCTAGACGCTGAGTCTCTAGACGCTGAGTCTCTAGACGCTGAGTCTCTAGACGCTGAGACTGAGACTCTAGACGCTGAGACTCTAGACGCTGAGTCTCTAGACGCTGAGTCTCTAGACGCTGAGACTCTAGACGCTGAGTCTCTAGACGCTGAGTCTCTAGACGCTGAGTCTCTAGACGCTGATTCTCTAGACGCTGAGACTCTAGACGCTGAGTCTCTAGACGCTGAGACTCTAGACGCTGAGTCTCTAGACGCTGAGACTCTAGACGCTGAGTCTCTAGACGCTGAGACTCTAGATGCCGAGTCTCTAGACGCCGAGTCTCTAGTCGCTGAGTCTCTAGACGCTGAGACTCTAGACGCTGAGTCTCTAGACGCTGAGACTCTAGACGCTGAGTCTCTAGACGCTGACTCTGAGTCTCTAGAACGCTGAGACTCTAGACGCTGAGTCTCCAGACGCTGAGTCTCCAGACGCTGAGTCTCTAGACGCTGAGTCTCTAGACGCTGAGTCTCTAGACGCTGAGACTCTAGACGCTGAGTCTCTAGACGCTGAGTCTCTAGACGCTGAGTCTCTAGACGCCGGGTCTCTAGACGCCGAGTCTCTAGACGCCGAGTCTCTAGACGCTGAGTCTCTAGACGCTGAGTCTCTAGACGCTGACTCTGAGTCTCTAGACGTTGAGACTCTAGACGTTGAGACTCTAGACGCTGAGTCTCTAGACGCTGAGTCTCTAGACGCTGAGTCTCTAGACGCTGATGCTGAGACTCTAGACGCTGAGTCTCTAGACGCTGAGTCTCTAGACGCTGAGACTCTAGACGCTGAGTCTCTAGACGCTGAGTCTCTAGATGCTGAGTCTCTAGACGCTGAGTCTCTAGACGCTCACGCTGAGTCTCTAGACGCTGAGTCTCTAGACGCTGATGCTGAGACTCTAGACGCTGAGTCTCTAGACGCTGAGTCTCTAGACGCTGAGTCTCTAGACGCTGAGACTCTAGACCCTGAGTCTCTAGACGCTGAGTCTCTAGACGCTGACGCTGAGTCTCTAGACGCTGAGTCTCTAGACGCCGGGTCTCTAGACGCCGAGTCTCTAGACGCTGAGTCTCTAGACGCTGATTCTCTAGACGCTGAGACTTTAGACGCTGAGTCTCTAGACGCTGAGACTCTAGACGCTGAGTCTCTAGACGCTGAGTCTCTAGACGCCGAGTCTCTAGACGCTGAGACTCTAGACGCTGAGTCTCTAGACGCTGAGACTCTAGACGCTGAGTCTCTAGACGCTGAGACTCTAGACGCTGAGTCTCTAGACGCTGACTCTGAGTCTCTAGACGCTGAGACTCTAGACGCTGAGTCTCTAGACGCTGAGACTCTAGACGCTGAGTCTCTAGACGCTGAGTCTCTAGACGCTGAGTCTCTAGACGCTGAGACTCTAGACGCTGAGTCTCTAGACGCTCACGCTGAGTCTCTAGACGCTTAGACTCTAGACGCTGACACTGAGACTCTAGACGCTGACTCTCTAGACGCTGAGACTCTAGACGCTGAGACTGAGACTCTAGACGCTGAGACTCTAGACGCTGAGTCTCTAGACGCTGAGTCTCTAGACGCTGAGACTCTAGACGCTGAGTCTCTAGACGCTGAGTCTCTAGACGCTGAGTCTCTAGACGCTGAGACTCTAGACGCTGAGTCTCTAGACGCTGAGACTCTAGACGCTGAGTCTCTAGACGCTGAGACTCTAGACGCTGAGTCTCTAGACGCTGAGACTCTAGACGCTGAGTCTCCAGACGCTGAGACTCTAGACGCTGAGTCTCTAGACGCTGAGACTCTAGACGCTGAGACTCTAGACGCTGAGTCTCTAGACGCTGAGACTCTAGACGCTGAGTCTCTAGACGCTGAGTCTCTAGACGCTGAGTCTCTAGACGCTGAGACTCTAGATGCCGAGTCTCTAGACGCCGAGTCTCTAGTCGCTGAGTCTCTAGACGCTGAGACTCTAGACGCTGAGTCTCTAGAACGCTGAGACTCTAGACGCTGAGTCTCTAGACGCTGACTCTGAGTCTCTAGACGCTGAGACTCTAGACGCTGAGTCTCCAGACGCTGAGTCTCCAGACGCTGAGTCTCCAGACGCTGAGTCTCTAGACGCTGAGTCTCTAGACGCTGAGTCTCTAGACGCTGAGTCTCCAGACGCTGAGTCTCTAGACGCCGAGTCTCTAGACGCCGGGTCTCTAGACGCCGAGTCTCTAGACGCTGAGTCTCTAGACGCTGAGTCTCTAGACGCTGAGTCTCTAGACGCTGACTCTGAGTCTCTAGACGTTGAGACTCTAGACGTTGAGACTCTAGACGCTGAGTCTCTAGACGCTAAGTCTCTAGACGCTGAGTCTCTAGACGCTGATGCTGAGACTCTAGACGCTGAGTCTCTAGACGCTGAGTCTCTAGACGCTGAGACTCTAGACGCTGAGTCTCTAGACGCTGAGACTCTAGACGCTGAGTCTCTAGACGCTGAGTCTCTAGACGCTGAGTCTTTAGACGCTAGACGCTGAGACTCTAGACGCTGAGTCTCTAGACGTTGAGACTCTAGACGCTGAGACTCTAGACGCTGAGTCTCTAGACGTTGAGACTCTAGACGCTGAGTCTCTAGACGCTGAGACTCTAGACGCTGAGACTCTAGACGCTGAGTCTCTAGACGCTGAGACTCTAGACGCTGAGTCTCTAGACGCTGAGACTCTAGACGCTGAGTCTCTAGACGCTGACTCTGAGTCTCTAGACGCTGAGTCTCCAGACGCTGAGTCTCCAGACGCTGAGTCTCTAGACGCTGAGTCTCTAGACGCTGAGTCTCTAGACGCTGAGTCTCTAGACGCTGAGTCTCTAGACGCTGAGTCTCTAGACGCTGACGCTGAGACTCTAGACGCTGAGTCTCTAGACGCTGAGACTCTAGACGCTGAGTCTCTAGACGCTGAGTCTCTAGACGCTGAGTCTCTAGACTCTAGAGACTCTAGACGCTGAGACTCTAGACGCTGATGCTGAGTCTCTAGACGCTGAGTCTCTAGACGCCGAGTCTCTAGACGCCGAGTCTCTAGACGCTGAGTCTCTAGACGCTGAGTCTCTAGACTCTAGACGCTGAGACTCTAGACGCTGATGCTGAGTCTCTAGACGCTGAGTCTCTAGACGCCGAGTCTCTAGACGCCAAGTCTCTAGACGCTGAATCTCTAGACGCTGAGTCTCTAGACGCTGAGACTCTAGACGCTGAGTCTCTAGATCCTGAGTCTCTAGACTCTAGAGACTCTAGACGCTGAGACTCTAGACGCTGACGCTGAGTCTCTAGACACTGAGTCTCTAGACGCTGAGACTCTAGACGCTGAGACTCTAGACGCTGAGTCTCTAGACGCTGAGTCTCTAGACGCTGAGTCTCTAGACGCTGAGTCTCTAGACGCTGAGTCTCTAGACGCTAGACGCTGAGTCTCTAGACGCTGAGTCTCTAGACGCTGAGTCTCTAGGCGCTGAGTCTCTAGGCGCTGAGTCTCTAGACGCCGAGTCTCTAGACGCTGAGTCTCTAGACGCTGAGACTCTAGACGCTGAGTCTCTAGACGCTGAGACTCTAGACGCTGAGTCTCTAGACGCTGAGTCTCTAGACGCTGAGTCTCTAGACGCTAGACGCTGAGACTCTAGACGCTGAGTCTCTAGACGCTGAGTCTCCAGACGCTGAGTCTCTAGACGCCGAGTCTCTAGACGCTGAGTCTCTAGACGCTAGACGCTGAGTCTCTAGACGCTGAGACTCTAGACGCTGAGTCTCTAGACGCTGAGACTCTAGACGCTGAGTCTCTAGACGCTGAGTCTCTAGACGCTAGACGCTGAGACTCTAGACGCTGAGTCTCTAGACGCTGAGTCTCCAGACGCTGAGTCTCTAGACGCTTAGACGCTGAGTCTCTAGACGCTGAGACTCTAGAACGCCGAGTCTCTAGACGCTGAGTCTCTAGACGCCGGGTCTCTAGACGCTGAGTCTCTAGACGCCGAGTCTCTAGACGTTGAGTCTCTAGACGCTGAGACTCTAGACGCTGAGTCTCTAGACGCTGAGTCTCTAGACGCTGAGTCTCTAGACGCTGAGACTCTAGACGCTGAGTCTCTAGACGCTGAGTCTCTAGACGCTGAGTCTCTAGACGCTGAGTCTCTAGACGCTGACACTGAGACTCTAGACGCTGAGTCTCTAGACGCTGAGACTCTAGACGCTGAGTCTCTAGACGCTGAGTCTCTAGACGCTGAGTCTCTAGACGCTAGACGCTGAGACTCTAGACGCTGAGTCTCTAGACGCTGAGTCTCCAGACGCTGAGTCTCTAGACGCCGAGTCTCTAGACGCTGAGTCTCTAGACGCTAGACGCTGAGTCTCTAGACGCTGAGACTCTAGACGCTGAGTCTCTAGACGCTGAGTCTCTAGACGCTGAGTCTCTAGACGCTGAGTCTCTAGACGCTAGACGCTGAGACTCTAGACGCTGAGTCTCTAGACGCTGAGTCTCCAGACGCTGAGTCTCTAGACGCTAGACGCTGAGTCTCTAGACGCTGAGACTCTAGACGCCGAGTCTCTAGACGCTGAGTCTCTAGACGCTAGACGCTGAGTCTCTAGACGCTGAGACTCTAGACGCTGAGTCTCTAGACGCTGAGTCTCTAGACGCTGAGTCTC